ACTGTGTATGCCTGAGATGCGCGGCGCGCTAGTGAGTCAGATTTAATTTCATTTCTTTTATTATTATTTTTCAATCATATTTATGAATTCATTTGTTTTATCACACTAGTACTTTAATTACGCAGTCAAAACATTATTCGCCAAATCCATCTTTTCTTATAGTGACAACTGTAAAGGAATAAACTCACGGATATTGTACAACTTTTTGATATCATTACAAAACAAATTACATAACATAGGGAAAATAATATTTTCATTTACTCCATTCCATTTCATGTGGTGACTAAAGTCTGTTACTTAATCTGTAATTTGTATTTTCGACCCAGAAAAACACCTGTAATTTGTATCATTGTATTGATCATTAGAATTATATATTACAAATTAAGTAATAAACTGAAACTATTGGTGATAGTAGTTAAATTGATTACCTGGAGTCGAATATAAAGCCTTAATTAAGATACATCTGAGTTTCAATTTTAGTGGTCAAAGATCTAATGGGTCTTGATTTCTTCAATTTTTTTTAATTTTTTTTGGGGGATAATTCTTCCTTGGATCTTGATTCTTGATTTCTTAGTTGTAAGTGTTATGGAACTACATTTAATCTTACCTTTGGTAAAACAGAAAAACCATTGGTTTTGGTTCATAAAAAAAAAAAAACAGGATCGTGTGAGTTCGTGCATGCATTTTGTATATGCACGAAGATTCACAAATCTCTGACCCGAACTTTCACAGGCAATCAAGTTGACTTTCAAAAAGATGTATTTTTTTCAGGATCCTTTATTTATGTATCCTGCTTTATTACTCGATTTGCTATTTATAAAATATATATCGGTAGATTTTTATTGGTGCGCGCAGTTAAATATTTAACTTATGTTATCACAACTCTAATGATGATTGAGAGGACGCTGAAGAAAAAAAAAATCATAATCAAGACTTTGAATGGTTTTTTTTCTTCTTCTAAAGCTTCACTCATCTTTTTCTTTCGTCAGTTGATGACATTTGAGGATATAAGAACACGAAAACTGTGTAAACAAAAGCAAAACTATTTGCTTAACGGGCATTGTCGACATGTCACTCATCTTCTATGCAACTCTTAACTATGTTTCCTTCATTCTCTTCTTCTCTTATTTACTAGCTAAGTGTATGCTTTATATCCCTAAATTTCTCTGGAACCATGAGAACCTCTGTATGACCAAAAATTATTGTTTTGTCTTTGTTTTTCAATTGCATACCTTTTATGAAGAAGAGAAACAAAAAAAAATATGAGATAAATTAATACATTAAGGTTTATAGCTATTAATGGAATATTCGAAATTTTGAATCATTGAATACGTCATTATAATATGTACGATCAAGTCAACCAAGTTTGTGATGTGTAAAGAAAAATAAATAAAAATTGTTTGTGATCTGTATCACTACATGGGTTCTTGTCGATCCGTTTTTCTGTTTCACTGATGATTATATTAATACCGAGGTAAAATACATGATGATTACATCCCATACGTATGTGTTAGAATATTCGGTTCAGATTTAATTCATTTTCTTCGCAGCATTACACCGAAACACATCCCATACGTATCAATTTAGAGGACTAAAACAGTCGTTTTGTCATATAAAATGTTCTGGAGTAGATAAAGTCTAAAAGTTTAATGAGTTTTTAAATATTAGAAAAATGGCTCTTGGGTAGACTGATTCGTTCGAACAATTTTCAATGACCCTTTTGTATTTCTTTATGGTTTTGATGAATCATGGCGTCTTGTTGATTTGAAATTTAGCAATAATGATGAATTAATTATAACAAAAACTTTGTATTTTTGTAGATTTATGTATAGATTAAAAATTAACAAAGTTCAGTTATTGGACAATATATTGGATCATTATTATAAAGTTATGCATAATGGTTTGGTGTGGGGTCAGTGTCGGTGATAATTTGGTTGACGTATTAGATGATAGTTAACATTATTTATCAGAAACATTCGAGGAGGGCAAGACCACTATAGTGTTCGATTTGCATTTCTCTGTTTTAACGTTTAATAGATGAAAAAATAATACAAGTGGGATGATTCACGAAAGCAAATTGGTGAGGCCATGGTTGTGACTATACATTACCTTATGAGTTATATGAGTTTGTTTTATATGTGTTACAATTTCCTTTGACTTAAGATCATATAAATTATCCTACGTTCCTAATCTTTCAAATTTCAGCATTTTTTTAATATTTTTTTTCGATAAACGGACTCTTTGGAGGATATGGAAAACTAGGAATTTGTTTGTTTATGAGAGAACCGTTACATTAGGCGTTTGTATTTTTCGGTTAACATCCAGAAACCCAACTGAGAAATTACATTGAATAAAACCAAACCAGACCAAACTGATTTGATACAGGCAGAGATCAGAGACGTATCTTCTGCGTTTTTTGTTCTTAGTTCATGATACAAAACAAGTTTCACATCGAAGCGGGACAAGAGAGAAGATACATCAGATATGGAGATGGGAGAAAAAATCATATGAAATAAAAAGGATAATTAACTTCAACCAGTTATATCTCCAAAAAGGGAGCAACATTGAGCATCTTAAGACACTGTTAGGAGTTGAGACCAGGACAGCTTCGAATGTCTCTCATAGCAAGTTACCAACTCTGGGATAGATTATGAGTCAGACATGCAAGTTTTTCTCTGGTTCCTGTACAAAAAAACAAAGAGATTCAAACATTTGTTCAACGTGGAGATTCCAAAACACTAGATATCTTCGGCATAGAGACTTGTCTCACCTGTCTGCTTAACGTTCCTCAGGCAACCAATTCAGATTCAGCTTTTTCTGCGGGAACATGATTTGGGAAAACTGTTTGGTAATCCAAGCTCCTAGCGGTTTCAAAGAAATGAGCCACGGCTTCCTCTGGTGTCCCTACCAAGACACCGTGTCCTAGGTTGAGTATATGCCCTTTTGGTCCAGCACTCTTCACAACTCTGACACCGAGAACAGACATTTTCTTTCGGTTTCTTGAAATTGAATATAAGCAATATACTATCTTCACCTGAACAAAGTAACTAACTTACCTTTGAATTTCTTCGGTTAAAGCAGGAAGCGGAGAGAATAGGTAAGCTGGATCAACATTTCCTTGTACACTAACCTCACTTCCCAATCGCCTCCTTCCATCAGCCATATCTACAGTCCAGTCAAGTCCAATAACATCAGCTCCAGTTCCTTTCATCCGCTCAAGAAGGCCACCGTTTCCATTGATGTAGAAAACTATCGGCGTATCTGGACATCTTTTCTTTACAGCTTGAATGATCTGGCAAAGCCCAAATGACAAAAACAAACGTTAGCTGCCATAAAAGAATCTTTCAAGTCCTCAAGATGAAAGCATTTAACTATAATACCTCTTCGATGTAGGGTTTGGACCAGCGCTCCCACATCTCGGGAGTCAATTGTCCACCCCATGAATCGAATATTTGTATGCAGTGAGCTCCGTGCTCAACTTGGTAAACAACGTACTCCGTGATGGCTTTGGTTAAATGAGATAAGAGAGCTCTCAATACATTTGGTGCAGTGTGGCACATGCTCTTTATCACTGTATATGTCCGAGTTGTTCCTCCTTCAACAATATACGTCGCAATCGTCCAAGGCGCTCCAACAAAACCCAATACCGCAGCATGTTCTCCGACCTTTCAAAACAAGAATCCATTTTTCAAGGAACTTGGTTAAATGCTAGGGAGAAAAGCTGAGAGTTTAGGAAAAACCACCTCTTGTCTCAGAATCTTGAGAGAATCTCCAACGAAGTGAAGTTTGTCGAGATCAATAGGATGCAATCTCTTCAAATCTTCTTCACTTCGGATGGGAGATTGGATCACGGGACCTTTTACTTCTTCGATGTCAAATGGGACACCGAACGCGGGTAAAGGCGTGAGGATGTCAGAGAAGATGATGACACCGTCTGGTCTAAATGCTTGCCAAGGCTGCAAAGAGATTTCCACTATAAGATCAGTGTTCTCTGATCTCTCTCTGAAGGAAGGGTGTTTCTGGGCCAGCTTTTTGTAAACAGCCATATACCTTCCTGCTTGCCTCATCATCCAAGCTGGAGGGCGACTCACGGCTTGCCCTTTAGCAGCCTTAACCAATAATGGATCTGATTTAACATTATGAACAGAACGTGTAAGCGTGAGAAAGATTGATTCTTTACGACTAAAAAAAGGATTTTGGCACTCGTTGAGTGACTTCAAAGAGAAGATCACATTTCAGGGCTAAACATCTAAATTCAAGCGCAACGGACATTCCAATGAGCAGCTAGAAACTCGACTCGACCCAATCAATTCAAAATCAGAATGGACTTGATCGCAGAGCATAAACTTAAAGAGTATGGATGCCAGGACATACGTACCGGTAGAGGAAGAGGAGCAAGCCACGACGAACTTCCGAGCAGCACTATTGTGTCTTCTTGGGTAACAAACCAATCCTACATTGATGGGATTCGATCGAAACCCTATCGGCAACGATAAACCCGAAGAGTAACATCTCGACGAACTACAGGCACTGAATACAATCGGCAAAAAATCCCCAAAAAGAAGAAAAGTCTCAGGATTTAGCAAAAAAAAATACTTAAAAGGATCAAAACAGAAACTGAAAGAACTGCCGAATTAGACGGACCTGGTTGGCGATGATAAGCTCATTCTCAATCACAGAAGAACCAAAAGTTTCGAAGATCAATGCTTGTCTGATTTTCCCCCGCTCCTTGTTTCGGTCTGGTCTGGTGTTTCCTTCCTTATCACCGAGGGAAGACGGGAGAGATGCGATTCAAGGTTTGACCTTCTTAAGTCAATTAATTCGACGGTTGTAATGTAGCCACGTATGATCTATCTGGATAATTGTGGGACCTACCTTACGGATTTCCTTGCTCTTTTAGTCCTTTGAGGTAAAATTTCCGGTACAATTCTCTGGTTCGATATATAGAATTTGGCAATTTACCCTTTGTGATTCGGAACTAAGTGAAAAAAACGGTTCATTATTTCTATTAAAATTGATCGGTTTACTATCACACAGTGACAGTGTTAATTTGCACATGAGTCACACAACACGATGGAAGAGCCTTGTTGACCAGGAAGACAGTTTATACAGCAAATCTCACCAAGACATCGTCTAAAACCCGGGAAAAACAGGAGAAACATAAAGAAACCTTTTTTATTTATTTGTGATGTTTCTTTCTCCACTGTCACTCACAGCAAAAGCGATGTCTATGTCTCTGGTCATATATCAAGCCAAAAAGGGTTGTCTGATTAGATGCTCGAGCCGTGGTGGCAGCTTCAGTGTATTCTTCTTGCAAACAGTTTCAAGCTTGTCATATAGAATGGTGTAGTTGAAGCTACTGATGTTCCTGAAGTAACATTGGTCACTTCCAACATAGTTATACACTTGTTGAGTGCCTCCATATCCATCGACCACTAAGTTATTCTTCACCACCATAACTCCTTGCCCTTCTTGCTTGTTCTCCAGCTTGCTCTTTCTCCTCAACCCGTTGTTGCTCTCTGATTTCTCCTCGTTGAATCCCATCGTCACATTTGCAATCTCCAGAGATGTGTCATCCTGTTGCTTCAACGAGTCTGAGTAGAGGTAAAAAGGGAAGCTCTTGATGGATTTTGCTGCGTGGATTTCTCTCGAGCCCTTCTTGGCGTTAATACGGTCATCGGCTTGGATCAGCTGATCTATGATCTGCAAGTTTCCATCTTTACCTAACACCATCGTATTTACATAGCTGAATTCTTGATTGGCCTTAGTTATGATGTCTCCATGAGAGGATTTGACCAGCCCGGTCGAAGTTATCGACCTCTTTGCTTTCGTAGTAAAGTTTCCATTCACGCCCTTGAAGTCCGAGACAGAGCTAATATCCAGAGAGCTTTTACTGATCTCCAACACCTTCCCTTCGACTATCTCCTTCTCCTGATCCAACCAAAGATGCAAATTCGCATCAATATACCAAACATTCAACGCATTGGTCACGCTAAACCCCAGCTTATGACTCTTCCCATCTAACAAGCTTCCCAAGAAAGGCGTGATCTCGATGTCATAACTTGGCAAATCAAAAGAGCCAATAGCTGTGATTGGTCTCCATAGCAAAGGATTGATTCCTCCGGTGAAAACAACAGGGAAAGGCCAAACCGCACCGGCAGTTTTCTCGTCGAGGCTAACCACAACTTCTCTGAAAGGTCCATTACCAGCAGCACTGAGATTCTTGGCCTTAACAAAGTCATTAGGAAGATTTCCATACCAAAACTCATCATTCTCATGGAAAGAAACATAAACCTCAAGAACAGCTCTATACACATTCCTAGGGATTTCGAACTCCTTGTACTTGGAATCATTCGAGTTCACGATTTCAAACCACAAACCATCGTTTAGCGGAAGGTTTCGCGAAACCGGGAGGATCATATCGGCTTGAGGAGAGCTGTAACCAGATGATAATACAGAAGAAGAATCTCGCGGATTTCTTTCGATTGGATAGTAATGGAAGATCACATCGACATGGTAAACGCCAGTGTATGTTTTATCTACAAGATTACCGAGATAAACAGCGAGGATCTGAGTCTCGTTCTTGACGAGCATAGAGTGATACCTTGTCACATCTTTCTCGACAGACCAAACGATTCCGTTTGCTCTAGGCTCGGCGGTGCAGCTCCGGAGAATCTCGACTCCATCAAGCCAAACGCCGAAGATCCGGTCGAATTGTCTTCCCTGGCAAGTGGATTTGAATTCGAGGACGATTTTGGAGAATTCTCGAGACGGGCAGTGAGAAGGGACGGTGTAGTTGGCGAGAACCGGTGGTTTAGCATAGGTGTAGCCGAAGTCATGGTGGAGAACTCGATGCGAGCACGGTCGTTGAGCTGTCGGGAAATCGGGAACGGGAGGCTTTCTGACCTCGAAGTAGCGAGTAGGTGGTGATGTGACGTTTTGGGAAGAAGAAGAGAAGAAGAGAGGAGAGAAATGAGGAGGTTTGAAACGCGATCTGGTGACGTGGTGATCGGCGACGGCCGAGAGAGACTGGAGGACGAAGAAGACGGTGAAGAAGATGAGTGGAGGAAGAGAGGAAGCCATGATCGGACGATTGAAACTTTTGGTCTCTGTCTGGTATATCCAACTTATTTCAAAGAAGCAATCCCAATGATTAATAGCAATTCTTAACTAAGATGCTTCCAAGAAAACAAAATCTTATACTACTTAATTATGTAAAACAAAAAATTTATATTACTTAATTATGTTTCTAATCCCGGGTTTTATTGTTTCTAGGGAACTTAAAAAGCACTAATCACTGACTAACATTCCTTAATCTACAATCCTATTAGCATCGAGAAAAACGGCATAGTAGAATAATAACTTTCACCACCAAATTTTGGGATTATTAGATAGATGTTAATCCCAACAAATAACATGTTACCATGTAAATTTCTGCTAGTTTTGCAACACACACTTATTTCGTTCTAGATATATCATTTTAGTTAGATGTGTAATTTTATAAATATATTACTATGGTTACACGGTTTAGGGGGTTACTTTTCTAGGAAACCAATCACAAAACGTAGCACATAAACAAATAACTGTGTTGGATCTTTGAAGCAAAGCAATACAGATATATCTGTAGTTAGAATCCCTCATAAGATCAAATACAATTTATATCAAAAGATAAAAAAGAAAAGAAAAGCATATACACTGACTACACATTAAGCATATACACTGAATATCTCTTGATTAGAAACCATCAACTGCTCTTATAATCTCAGTTAGACAATTGGCTTAGCTATACACAAAAGGTTTGTGAAAAAAGGAACAAATGGAGAAAGCTATTAAAAATGGTAAACGTTAAGAGAGATATTTAAGATAGAGATCGGTTGAGCATAGAGAGTTGGCCGGAATCTCCATTGAGTAAGAAGACTTCAAGAGGAATGTAAGGAGAAGCTGAAGAATTTGATCCAAACCTGTATGCAGGCTGCAACAGTTTGCTACCTTTAGCACATTGAATCGTTAGAAGCCGCGGCCCCGTTCTCATCTGCCACACCTGCTTTCAATCCAAAGCAAATCAATCACGCATATAATAATCAAAACATCCACAATGTTGTTGCGAGAGAAGACAACGTTACCTCGATGATGCCTTTGCGCGGCGCGTGAATGGCTAAGCATAGACAGTAATCGCTTTTCACCGGCTCTGTGTGAATTACAGATTTTCCTTTATCTTTTTTGGCTAACATCTCCATGAACACGCAGCTCGCGTCACGATAACCCTTTAGAAAAGAATGTTTTGATTTTTTTAAAGAAAGTAGACTGGAAGAAGTATTTAGGATGTTAAAACAAACCTTCCATAGTCGGACAACCACGAGAGCTTGCGTGTCTAGCAGAAGTATTCGACCAAGAGAATCTGTTATCGCAGCTAATGTCCCACTTGGAGATAATGTGAGCTTCTCACCTTTTCTTGGATAGTCTTTTATACATGTCAAAGACGACGCTGCACCAAACATTCGACAAGGTTAAGCATATATGGATGCTCAATAAGTGACGTATTCTTGTGAAAGGATTAGAGATGAAATCTACCTCGAGCAAATGACTGAGTCTTGGCTTCTGGCTTTCGCTTTGGTGATTGATCATTACTTCTCCAGATCAGTTTAGAAAAAGAAGCTATGGTTGAAGCAGCTGCAGGCACAACCTTTGATAGAAGCGCTCCAACAAGTGATCTACCTCTATCTTCAGATAGCCTTTCAAAGAAGCATAACATAAAAAATTTCTTAATCAACAAAAGTGATCATAAAAAGGTTTCTTTGATCAACAAAAGAGCACCATGAAAGTAACATCATTGAAGATATTACCAACCTGTAAGCTGAGATTACAGCATCCTCTCCAATGGTCACTGCACAATAATAACGTTGACTTGACTGTCAAAGAATAAAATCAGCCAGATTTACAAACCGGATTAAACTTCAAAAAAGGTATGGGTTATTGTTTTTATCCGACATCAGAAACATAACTATGCTTAAAAAAACCGCGAAGAGAGTTCCTAGTTTGAAGTAATCAAATATATAGCACTAGTCACCTGATGTTCCAGTAATGGAGGAGGCATTATGCCAGTGACAGTAGCATCAACACACACACCATTCTTGTTGACACTCCATATCTGATACGGTAATCTTTGGTACAAACTACCACTATCTTCTGGTTCTCCCTTTCTATTATTTTGGTCCCAAAAGTTTGAATTTTTTTCTTGAACCCATTTCTGAAGCATACTCTACAATTATAAAGACAAAATAAACAAATCTCAGAACTATGCAAGAAAAATTTAAACACTCAGACAATTCTCCTTTTGTCACAAGTTTTTCAACGCTACCTGAATGTTAGAGCCATCAAAGCGGGCAATAATACCAGGCAATACAACGCAAATCTCCTCAGAGGATGTCTCTTGCATCAAATCTTTCTTAGTTCCTCGCACTCTTAGTTTCAAGATACGGCTTGGATGTACCATCTGTACAATACACACAAAATTAAGTTATTCATCCATAACACCACTTGAAAAAAAAACATAAATTTGAGACGATAGTGTTCATAAAACCAGTGTTTAAGCCAACATCAATTTCAGAATCGAGAAATCAATAATGGGACGGAGCAAAAACTGGAAATTTACCTGCTTATGAATCAGATCACCGGCAATAGAGTAAACTAGGAGATATCCACAGGAAGTCCCTGCAACGACGACTCTGACATCGTCAAATACCAACCACTCGATCGCCGTTATCGATTCCGCCTCAATCGGAGATAGATCGGGTCTGATCTTAACGCGAGGCGCATCAGGATCACCCCAATTCACAATCAGGATGAGAAATCGATTGGCTAAGGCTATAGAGTGGGAATCGAGTGCGCAAAGAAGGTTTGGGCTGTTCACGAGCCACCCTTCCTTGCCCGCACCGAGCTCGCTGAGTTCTTCGCACGCGATGCAGCCTAGTTCCGTCAGGTGAATCCTCTTCGCCATCGCAAAATCCAAGCGGAAAAAAAGAAAAGACAGGATTTTTAATTTTTTTTTTCGGTTACTTATGGCTTGTCGGATCTCAACTGTACAACGTCGTCGTATTCATCGGCTTATATTATTTACAGTTTCTAATCATCTCTTTTGGTTGTTTCGCAAAGGGAGAAATGTTGGGTCAAGATTTATCCTTTTCTAAAACCCTGAACCCTAGCTTCTCCATCTTCCCTTTCTCCATCCGTAAATCTCCTCCTAGCTCCGTCGTAAGAAGGACCGTTTCTGTTTTACCGGTTGCCGAGAGGAATTTTCCGTTGGGTGTCAAAAGCTCTGAGCTTTTCCTCAGAAAAGATGGTGGATTCCGGCGAGACGTTCGCGCTTTGGCGGGGCGGAGCAAGAAGAAGCCTGGAGGTTCTTCAGGCGGGAGGATTGAAGGGGATTCGGATATGAGAAAGCAGGTGAAGCGAAATGCTCGCGAGAAGTCGAAGAAGCTAGCGGAATCTCTGTTTTATCGGTTGTATAATAACCCTGACAAGAGTCGAAGCAACATCCTCAGTAGTCACCCGGATAAGTTCACGGAGGAGGAGCTTGAGATGATAGGGCTTGGTTACGATAGGATGGTCCGGTTTATGGATAAGGACGACCCCAGGTTGCGTCATCCTTATGACTGGTTCAAGTACGGAGAGTTTGGGCCTTACTCGTGGCGTGGTGTTGTGGTTGGTGATCCGGTTCGTGGTAGTATCTCTGATGAGTGTGTTACTATGATAGGTGAAGTGGAGAATCATGAAGAGTTTGAGAAGATTGAGCAGCATGAGATGAATATAGATTTCCAGAAAAGGGTCAAGGAGTTGGATTCGAATGTTGGTTTGAGGTACTTTTGGGTTTTCGTTAGGCATCCGAAATGGAGGCTCAATGAATCGCCGTGGGAGCAATGGACGTTGGTTAGCGAAGTGGTTGTGGAAGCGGAGAAGAAGCAGAGGCTGGACAAATGGAATCTGATGGGGAGATTGGGGAACAAATCAAGGTCTTTGATATGTCAATGTGCGGCTTGGTTTAGACCTGATGTTGTGTATGTGAAGAAGCCTGTGTTTCAGTGTAGGTTTGAGCCTCAAGAAGATTTCTTTAACTCGATCATCCCTTATCTAAACCCGGTAACGGAATCTGGTTTCGCGTTTGAAGTGGAGGATGATGAAGGTAGAGTGGAACTGAGTACTTATTACGGAGGGTTGTGTAAGATGTTGAAAGTGAGACAGACGGCTTTTGTGGATGATGTGGTGAAAGCTTATGAGAAGTCGAGCGATGAGAAGAAGTCGAAAGTTTTGAGGTTCTTGCTCGGGAACCACCCGATCGAACTGTTGCATCCGTACACAAAAGAATGGAAGGCGAAGCTGGAGGAGATGGAGCTAGGGTGTGATGCTCCAGATGAGGATGAGATGAAAATTAGTGGAAACTCAGAGAAGGGTGAATTCTCTGAATGGGTTGAGACTGAGGCTGACGATGATGATGATGGTGACGATAGTGAGGAGGAGGAAGAAGATGGTGATGATGATAATATGGTAGTGGATGCGGAAGGAACCGAGGAAGAAGACAGTTTGGAAGGTGAAGTAGAGGAGTTTGATCCGGAAGAGGAAGAGAGATATTGGGAAGAGCAATTCAAGAAAGCGACAAGTAACGCGGAGAGGATGGAAAAGCTTGCGGAGATGAGTATGGTGGTGTCAGATAGGTTTTATGAGAAGCAGTTGAAGGCAATGGAGGAAAAGGAAAAGGGAGAGATCGCAGGAGATGAGCTTGAAATGAGAGGTAAGAAAGCGAAAGTGAAGCCGGAAGAGTGGAAGACAGTAGGTTATGGACGGTGGATGAAGAAGATCAAGAAGAGTAGAATCCCACCTGAGCTATTTCTCCGTGCTGCTGTTAGGCCCTTTGTTTACAGGAACTTGGTGAAAGAGATTGTTCTGACAAGACACGCCATTCTGGAAGGCGAGATTGGTCAAAAAGAGTGATAACCTCCACCAGTTTAGGTCCTAAAGAAGAAAAGAGTCTGAATCGTTGATTTACGTCATTAGCTTCAGAAGAGATTATTCAAGAACTTTCCAACATCATGTATGTAAATGAGTCGGAAGTTGAACAGTTTTTTGTTATCAATGATTTGTTAATGTTGCTTCTGCAACTCACCTTGTTCATATGAGTTTTTTTTTTCCTGGTTAAGTAAGCTCTGTAACGCTGATAATGGCAAACTCATAAACAAAAGAGTGTTGAACTGAATACATACTGATAGTTTGATCACAAAAAGCATTCGTGTTGACTGTCAACAAAACAAAGTTGCAAACATAATGCACAAGCCTGATACAGATAAGTCCTCTACTGATGTACTTCAAGAGAGAAAGTACTCCTCTGGAGTATAAAACTTCAATCCACTTGCCTGCAACCAAAAAAAAGTAATTGTCGATCAGGAAAGCCGCAAAAAGTATATCGAGTATTGCTGAGATGCCTGATGTTTGTAACAAATATACCTGCGCAAATTTCAAGTCTGCGTCGCTGTGATCGCCTTTTCTTCCAGCTGCATCCCCAACGTAGAAGGATCTGATGGCACAGAAGTTAGTATAAACCAAACTTAAGTGCTAGAGAGAATACAACCGGATAGAGTTTAATCAGGAAGGCTGATGGAGAAAACTAACTTATCCATATCAATTGCAATTCCAGAGTTGAAATGCTTCTTCATGAGTTGCCACATCCCAGCCCTGGGTTTGCGGTAAAGGTCATCATTACCACCAGAATTTGCGACTCCACAGGCTATAAACACCTGTTTCCAGAACGAAACCATTTATAATCTTCATATATCAACATGTCAGAAATTGATACTTTTGAACCTTTGAAATGTTCAGATGTTGGCTAAGAAAAATCTTGCATATATTGAAATATGGCAATTGCTGTACGCATCATAGTGTCTTTTAATTACTCAAAATAATAATTAGGATTTGCTGAAGCAGTAATCTTGAGTCGATAAAATAAGGTTCTTAATAATGAAAAACTATAGCATACTTCACCTGAATAGGGACCTCCACGCGCTTGATAAAACTGTTGAGGCGTCCAATTTTTGAGTCCACCGCAGCTTGTCTTTTGTTTTTCCACCGATCAATGTTGGACTCATTTGTGAAAATGGCCTGAGGAACATAAGATCAGCATCTCTATACAAACAAACTGAGACGATTGAGTTTAAATGGCTCAGATAGAATTCAAAATGAAAATAAGGTACCAGCTTATAGCCTTGATTATGCAGACTTTTCAGTTTCTCAGGAATAGAAGGATACATAAGGGACCATGCATCTGCACCCACTCTGAGAAAAACGAAAACAATAACAATGTGATCCATTAGGACGTTCATTAATAACACAATTATATTAAGAAAAAAGTAACAACAAAAGACGCCCAATTTTACTAAATGTGCTCTGTGACAAGTACGAATCATTGTGTGATTGCCTTTCTGGAAAAAACGTAATCACTGAAGTAGACAAACTACAAGTCCAGAAATCATAAATGACCAGGAACAGCAAATTCCGAGTAACCAAATAGCTTTTTACACTTTCACAGATGTTTTTGCAAGGCATCCATCAAAGTCAAATGCAGCTATCTTCTCTGAATCATTAAGACCGTCATCCTGTTAAGATGCAGCAAGGGAGTTTATTCTTAGGACATAATACAGCACCATATATCCGAAAGCAACATCATATCTGAAGATGATTTCTGACCCGCTCAAGGAATATTACTGTCTCGAACGCTTTCCATTTTGGCAATAGACTGGCATCCTGAAAAACAAAGGATATTAGCACCCAGAGACATAATGATTAAAATCGAATACATATGCCAATGCTGCAAACTCGTAAAGAATAAATAAGGTTTACACGAAAACACCTGGAGTGCCTACCCTGTACTTTTCCTTCACATCACAAGCTGAAAGAGAGATTTCTGCTTCAGCTACGACCTGAGAAGTTGACTCACTGATGTTCATCTGCATAACACAACATTTTAAAATCAGTTAGGAGAATTTCTACACAAGGAAGAGACTGGCGGCAACCATTATAAGGTATTCAATACATCTCATTTTTTTGCATACCTTAGATTTTCTAGTAGTCTGTTGGTCTGCGTTGGTTCGCACTTCATCTTCTTCCACCATCTCCCCAACCTTCATAAGAAACAATAAATTACAGGTCAATGATTTCACTTTTACAAAATTATATTAAAATTCAGATTATTGCTATCTAATAACCTGAGCATGTTTTCTTTTATTTGTCTCCCCCGTTAGACGGTTATCAGTTCCAGATTCATCCATCTTCTGTACTCCCCCCAGGAAATAAAGTAAGAATTTAGCTAAAGAGACCTAGAATATTCAAGATTTGTAAAACAAACAAATATTATTGAAATGGCTTTTGCTAGAAAATCTACCAAAGTCTTCTTCTCGCACTGTTGGACAAATTCCTTTAATGCATCCTGCTCACCATTCTGTTTATTGTAACAAGTGCATCAAAGATATGTCAGCACGAATAAGAATAGTTTATGTTTGGGTGTATATTCAACATGACACTGACAACGATGTCATGCCATTGGTATATTTGACAATCAACGTGACAACTGTTAATAATTCATACCTCATCTATATTCAAAATAGCATTTTTTATGATCCTATCAACCAGAGGACATATGCAATCATTCAGAAGTTCTATCCACTTTACTGAAAATTCTTAATCGGTAAATACAGACTTACCCGCAGTGATGAAAAGCCACCAATGTCATCTACAGAGTCAATTGGATCTGATTCAACGGGAAAACAACCCAAGTGATGCCATTTTGTCATATCATATCCCCTGTCTCTGGTCACCAGCCCCAACCTCAGTTCCTTTGCAGCAATCGTCTGAGAGCACTTCTTGCATGATGATCTGCTGGACTTCGCATACTCAGCAATAACTTTGGAAGAAGTAGAAGAACCTTTCGTCTCCTTAGTCATCTGCCCGCTTATTTCATCTGATGCGGGATGTTTAATCTCATCTTTCTTCTCAGCGACCTGCATTATTTTAACCGAAACACGCACTTAAGAAAAGTAATGTAGTCTACATTCTAAATCATAGATGAGCAAACCTATACAACTATCATTTTTCCCTCGCACAAAAGAAGAATGACTTTACCTTTTTAGCAGGCTCGACACACTGTTCCACCAATCTCGCCAAAGCATCCTGATCATCTTTCTGTTACCATAAACAGATGGATTAGCACAAACAACAGAGAGATATGTGAAAGTCTATGAACGATATCGAAAAATTTAGACCATTCCTTAGTTGTCGACTACGAAAAAATGATTTATTCTCGTAATAGCTTGTGTACACTGATTGAAACCCTTGGGGAGTCGAAAATACCCAATAATGTAATCCAGAGGCTGAGAAAAGCTAACCTCTAGGTCTGATAATCCTTTGATGTCATCGACGGAAGCAATCGACTCAGAATCAGTAGGAAAACAATCAAAATGGTGCCATCTGGGCATGTCGACCCCGCCAGGTCCCTTGCTCATCAGCCCAACCCTCAGGGTTTTGGACGCAATCGCCTTCGAGCATGACTTGCACGAAGATCGGTTCGACTTGGCGTACTCAGCTACGATCGACATAGTCTCCGGCGAAATCGACTTCGCGGTGGCTTTACAAATGTAACGGTGGCAGAAAAACTGAGAGCGTTCTCGGATAAAGAGATTGGAGCGATGGATAATCAAATGAGGGAAATTATGAGAAAGGTGAGACACGAAGGACACTGATGATTCCATATAGCCATTGGGGGGTATATCGAGGGGGGAAAAAGGCGATTAGGTTTCACTTTACATTCCCGCCATTCTAAAGTAGAAGTCAGTGGAATTGTAAATCATAGCGGAATGTGGGGGCATAAATGTAACTTCTTTACACCTAAGACTCGACGTCGGTTGCCGACAAAACAAAACAAAAAAGAAATCAATGGCAGATCTTTTCGTTTCTAATCTAAATCTTATTGGGCCGTTCTGAGTTTTAAAGGCCCAATTATTTTTTGGGTTCAAAAAAATCCAATATTCTAACTTTTTGGGTGGGTGTGGGGAAGTTTCCAATTCTGAAATGGTTTTTTTTAGAAGGAATGCAGAAATCTAACCAATTCATGAAACTTTATGAAAATTCAAAATTTCATGTAAAAGTATACATTTGTAAGTACAAATTTTCATGAACTGCGTCGAAATTCCGAAGTACAGATTTTCAAAAATGACTAAAAGGTACATAAGTTACACGTAGCAAGAAGTTACACGTAGCAAGAGTTACATAAATTATCAAAGAAAAAAAAAAGTTACACGTAGCATGTAATTCGATGTGGGTGGCGGGAGTTGGCTGTCCGAGTAAAACTAACATAAGAATTAAGAATATATTGTCAATTGGTCATGTCAGCAACTTGTCGTCTATGAAAATACAATACTTCTGATGAAGAATCTATAAACCATAAACCATTTTACCAAAAAAAAAAAGAATATATAAACCATATATCAAAAAAAAAAGAATCTATAAACCTAACCAAACAAACTGCTAGGAATCGACGCCGGGTTATAGGAGGACGCGTACCACACCAAGTGTCCTCCTGCATGTCTTCAAGAGACATGACCATGCCACGTTCACTTCATGTCTTTCTAGATTTTTTTGGGTGAAAACCATCTTTTCTCAATCCACTTGGTCTAAAGAAACCAACAACCCATATGTCCCGGATTCTGTGTACTTATTATTTTTTTTTTCAACAAAATAACAAAAACCCCAATTAGTCCGATTGTTTTACATCCAAATTTCAAATACACATAAGAAGTCCAACTGAAAAAATATTGACAAACACGAGACATAGTATATATATTATTTTTTTGGCTAAATAACACGAGACATAGTTCGATGATCTTTATCACCATTCACCTCCATAGCGTAGGAGATATTTTTTTTTATATCTCATAACCATGTAAAAACCAAAACCAATTTGGACAATAAAACACATGGTAAATACTAAAAACCATAAAATTACGATCTCAAAACTAATAAATCTTCTCAATTCTCTCACTAAGCTTTATAACCCGTTTAAATAATCTTTTAGATGTCGGAAGTTCGACGACGGTCATGGCTAGTCCCCCAACCAGAAACGCCAGTACGTAGCTCAGCGGCAGCGATAAGAAACTCTGCTTGTTGGAGCGGACGAAGGAGCTCCACCACACCCGTGACCGTTCTCAGCCGTAGATCATCGGCTCGATGGACGATCTCTGTTAGCCGTCGGATCCTCTGATCACGATCAGTCATCGTTCCCATGACGAGCTCGCTTGCATCGTCTTGCCACTCCGATAACTCTTCCGTTATCGCATTCTCTTCCTTCACCGTCTCGCATTGTAGCTCACTCACCTTCCTGCCTTTAACAAATTTAACCCTACTATTAAATTTTAAATATAGTTAAAATGCATGTCTTTAGTTAGTCGAAATGCTAACACTTAATTAGAAATAGACAAAATATTATATACAGAATAATGAACATTTATTGCAACTACCAAGATAAGTTAACAAACATGTATAACATAAACTATGATCACGTAATAACTAAACCAAATTATACAATTTTAGAATATTTGCTCAAAAATAAGATAGTATGTATACAAAATTTATTAGAGACTACGGTTAATTGTGATTAGTAAAAATTAAGTAGCTAATTAATTTACGGGTTCGTATATAACCTGAATTGAGAAGGAGATAGATCACTGAGATCACCAGTACGAAAACCACGGAGGATATCAACGATACGAGACTCGAACAAAATACTAGACTCGGTGTAAATCAAGTGAAACAAGGTGGTTGGTCGCCAACCACCGACCCAATGGAGCGACCGTTCAAGAGCCGACAACCAAGGAGCAGCCATAACTCCGATCACATCTTTCTCCGTCGTCGTCCATTGCACTCTGTGATACTCTCTACAGTGTTCCATCACTCTCTCCGCCGCCTCCCTTAGCCGATCCTCGTCACCCTCCACGGAGTTCCGGTGGTGGTTTTGGGCGGAGCGGAGGTGGTTGAGGTGGAGTTGTAGCTGCTCGATCCATGACTGTTGAAATTTCTTGAAGCTTGTTATCGCTGTCTCTTGGCTCATTTTTCTCGGTCCTCCGTATTCTTTGGGATGGTCTTAACCATTTCTATATATATATATGCTTTTATATTATAAGATTTTTTTTATGTCACCGACTTATCGTATTATAACGTTCAAATTTGTCTTCAACATTAGGAGGAACCCATATAATTTATTGACCGGTCAAAAAGTCAAGTTTTATCGCTTTGCAGAATCTCTTAATATTGATCCTTTTTTTTTCGGTTTGCCAAGTTTTTGTGAAACTATATTTTTTAGTTGACCAAAATAGAAACAGTTTTCTAAAAATTAAGTGGATTGACAAGTGAACTTTCAACGTTGAGTCTTTATATTGGTACAGTTTTACATTATGATGCTAACCAGATTAGTTCGGGTAGCGTTCGCGAATAAAAGACCAAACCGGATCAATACCCACCGAGCCAAGACTCAGGAGGTTGTGAGAAATATAGGATACGATCATAGGACGCACTATTTTTGGGCCCAGAAGATCTATCAGGACCCATCAGATTATTATCTGATATATTTGGTCGGTCGGTGAGAATAAACAAATAAAGGTATTATTGACAACAAAATTGAAGAAGCTAGCAACCAATAAAAGTCCTTGCTTTAAAACCCCTTTTAGAAGAAATTATTTCCATTCCACTCACACAAAAATAGTTCACTCTAATCATATACTTTCTTTTTTGAATGGCACTAATTGACATCATAGTATCTCAACTACACCATAATGAAAATAGGTTTGAAATAGCAATAACATTCTATTAATTTATTACGAATTATTTACATTAGAAGGTAGTGACGATAGCTAATAATTTTGATGGCAAACAGCTCAGAGATTCTTCTGTCTCTCTGCTCTAATATTGACAAAATAAAAAGAACATAAATAGAAAAACCCATAATCTCAACAGTTAACGCCGTGCCTCTTCCCTCAATCCAACGGCCAGCAAATTATCTCGCCATTTTATTTGCCTACCCCAAAAATATGGGCGCGCCACCACCTAAATTACCCTAATACCCCTGACGCAATCGCCGGGGAATCTCCACCGTCCGGTGACGGATCTAACGGCGTTGACATGAACGCGAGAGGTAAACCTCGCATTGTATCGAAGCTTTCCCAATTCTAAACCCAGGAACCACAGTAAACGCAACACGTGGCTCAGATTCCGGCGAACTTTCTCCCTCCTCCGGCGGAGAGAGAAACGCTTCCTCCGCCACGCTCTTCATGTACACTTCGGCAAATCTGCAACCTTTAGATACTTGAAAGATCGAAGCTTCAGGGTCGAAGGAGAAAGCAAGGCAATGCAAGAGCCAAACCCGTTTCGCCATCTCGAGAAACGCAGAGCAGAAACTCGTCTCCGGGAACTCACCTGCAGAGACTTGGTTTCTAAGATGCAAATGCCCGAAGAGCCCTTGCTCCATCTTTGGATGAACGAGCTGCAAATACTTGGATCTGCAAAACCTCGAGAATCTTGATTTAGGCCGTGACGCTATATACTCCTTTGTTTTCACTGATCTGAGCTCCGTGAACCTCTCGAAGAACATCTCTTTGCTCTTCTTGTGAGCTGATGATTCGTTAGAGAAGTGAGGTAGATGAAACGCTTCAAACATGATCTTGCAAACGAAATGCTCGAAAGCGAAACACTTGTGGTCTTGCTTGTAATAAAATGCTTCAGGCTGTATCGAATCAGCAGCCGTATAGATGTCCCAACCTGCCATTTTCATCTGTTCAACCATCAATCTTACGAATCCTCGGATTGATTTGACAGTGTGGTGCAGATAAGTAACGAAATGGGTTGGATTTAGCGCCGATAGGTGAAGATTATGATCCAGAGGATTGCAAAGCTGGCCGCTTTGGTTAAGTCTCTTCTCCATCAGCTTGTTCTGGTTCATGGATTCTTCAAACTTCTCTTTAAGAAATATGATCTCAGAGTCTTTAAGCTTCACCTGACACTCGAGCTTCTTCCCCATGATCTCATAAGTCTTCAACAGGCTTCTCAGCTCTTGAATTTCCGCAAGAACAAGAGTTCTATCAGGATTTGGATCAAACTGTTTCTTCAAGAAACTCTGTTTCAGCTCAGACAATGTCTTCAGCTCTGACACAACCAAGTTGTCTGATTTCTGAATCCCAGCTGGATCATACGGAGACTGAGCATACTGCAACTGCGCATAACCCGATTTTATTGAAGAAACCGTAGCAAACAGCTTTGCAAGAAGTGCTTCCATGGCAAGTCTTTTCTCATACTCTTCCTCGAGCTTGTCAAAGGACTCTGAAAGATTTGCTGCATTCTTCACTAAATCTTTGTCTAACTTCACCTTTTCTTGGCTCTTCTTTACTCTCTCGACCTTGTCACCTTCTGGAGCAACTCCGGTTAGCTTTTTAACGTTGATTACTTTCACAAATGCGCGTCTGAGTTTTCCTTTTCCTGAAGCAACATCCAATGGTTTCACAGTCTCCATCTGCAAAATACATGACCAATGCTTAGTTAAGTGACAATAATAACAAAGAAGTGGATGAATAGGACTTGTAACGATGTCTACATCGAACAAAAAGTAAAAGAAAAAGCAAAATTGGATCTAGGACCATTAATGGAGCTTTACTTTGTAGGAGTTCTTTAGTTAACCAAAGAAAAAGATCAAGAGCATAGAAGAAGCTAGAGAAGAAGCTTGAAGGGATTGGTTCGCTAATGGCTAACACTACACTTTTTTGGTCTCAAAGGAGAGAGTATGCATATACATTTATATATGTACACATAATGAGAGAAAGAGAGAGAGATACATGCCTAGATTATCAAGTGGATACAGCTTAAAGATTCATCCAAAGTTGTGGGGACAATGTGGTTCATATATAAAAGAAAATGTGTTTTTTTATAAAGGAATAAAAAATTAAGAAATGTCCAAGGAAGAAGAATAAACAACTAGCGTGTGTAGTACCATTACTTTACATGAACCGATCTACTTTTATTTTTTCTTATTTATGTTCTGAAATCTTTTGCTATATATATGGTGGGGCTAATTAGTCAAAATGTGCTGCTACAGAATCAAACAAGAGTGAGAAAAATAACTTATAATAAAACCTGTACCCAAATGGGATATCTGCAAACACATGACACATGCAAATAATTCAACACCCCTCGTTCTCATTTTCTATTCACTTTTTTCTGAAAAGAAACAGTCAAGAAAAAGTGCAAAAGAGAATACAAAAAGAACTGATGAGTTTAATAAGTGTAGATACTACAAAGTTGTTCATAAGTTATCAATTATGGAACACTGAGGAAAAGGATTAGAGTATTGAGGAATCATAATTGCTACAAACCAAATCAGTTTAAACTATAATCCAAGAACTGAAAGTGCCCCCACACACAAACGCACACATGTCTGTATGTCATATGAATGGTTCTTTGATTCCACTCGTTTGAAAAAAAAAGTAGGACAGGCTCTAAGCCTAACATAGCTACCTAACCTTTAGTAAAAAACAGACACTTTCTCTATTTCACTACGGTTTAAGACTCAAAATGCACACAGATTTGGAGACTTAAACGAAGCCAATGAGAATGAAGGGAGAAGAGTTATGTTAAAGAGTGATACTTGTAACCAGTAAACCCCAGAAGGGTTTCATACAATTTTAGAAGCAACATTCATCAAACGAATTGTACATGATAGAGAGTGAAAGTACCTTACAAAAGTTCCTAAGGTCTCTTTCTCTCCGTCTCTCTCTTTCTCACTGTGTTTCAATGTTTTGTTTTGTTGTTCTCACTTCATTGTAGAGTGAATCTGAAGAAATCAACTGGATAGAAATGACAGACCAACCTCCGCTTAAACCCTGCAGGATCAAATCAATCATATGAAATTTCCAATCACTACCTACCGAATGAAAGATTCAAGAAACCAATAAGAACATAGAGCCGATAAGAACAAGAAAAACTCCCAATAAGAAAAAAACAGAATTATATGCACGCTGATGTGAATGGTTAACAATAGTAATTTTGTTATAATTTTCAACGATAGAACGTGAAGCCTCGCAAGTTGCTTATAGATAATGGCCCTTGAAAATGAGAGGAAGGGAAAATGCATAGATAATGGAGACGAAATCATTATGAAGAAACAAAACAAAAATTGATCAGATGTTGATTAGTAACCTGATCGAGTAAAATACACTCTCCCTGGAATATCTCTGTTCGTGTAACCTCCTAACGACAATTATGGGTATCAAAGAAAGATACAGATTCCTTCACGGTTTCAAGACAAACCCGGAGCTCGAGAATGTGAAGAAAAAGGAAAAGAGGAGAGATTGAACAAAGAAGAAATAAAAAGTGTAATGCTTTAGACTTTAGAGAGAGAAAATGTCGTAGGAGGAGGTGAAGAGAGTAAATGACAGAGAGAGAGACAGAGCCTAGGGAAGTTCAAAGGAGCTAATTTTCCCAATATACCCTAGTGACTAGGAGATATTTACACCGACATTGCCGCTTAACGTTGCGGAAACGTCGAAACGGAAAGGGTGTTTTTGGTAGAGGATAAAGATAAAGAGATTTATGACATGTTTTAAAATGCTACTATAACGTAATCAGACAGAACGCAAAAATCATTCCGCTGAGGGAAGTACGTATATGTATATTTTATTTTTTTTCAATAGTGAAATTACTAGGAAGTTGTTGCGTACATACATACGCGAAGACCGGTCCGTTCCGTATGAGCTGGGTTTGTATCGACACGTGGCAATGAAAGAGTGTAACGATCCCCTTGTTTATTTACCACCCTATGTATTTAATCGAGTTAATGCTTATTTTAATCAAACGAGGGAATTTGTTGTAGGCTAATTCTATGATTTAAGGAAAAAAAAAAGAATGCATACTTACTCTTAAAATATTTGCGTAGTACATAACTCTCAACAGAGGCTATAAAATTATGGCATTATTCCACAAAGTTATAATCAAATCTATTATTTAATTTAAGAAAATTCCAACTTGAATAAAGACAGCTAAATAGCAGTATTGATTTTCACTAAATACGCGAACAACTGAACAAGTACAGTTGTCGTATCGATGGCAGTGAATCAAAGGATGCGAATTGCGGAGTCCAAAGTTTGAATTTATCTTAAAAGTTACTATTAGTATACTACCAATTAGTCTTGGTGGGTTTTAAATGCAAACTTACCGTGCCAATGAAATATACTCTCACTCTCTTAGCAGTAGTACATGGAGTGGAGTGCAGGAGTGGGATATGCGTGTAATATATCAACTAACTATATGGAGTGGAGTTAGTGATGAATGAGTTAATGGAAAAAATATGAGACAATTGAATTTCAATTTCAAAAAGGAATTGAGAGCTATGAGCGCGAGCCTAGTAAGTAGGGTTCCCTTATGGATTTACCTATATTTGATAATTCACTACCAAAAAAAAAAAATTATTCACGATTATTCATATGCTGACATGCATATAGTTATGAGTCTTTTGTCCAAAAAAAAATCATGAGTTATTGTTTATTTACCTAGAAGAAAACAGACAGTGAAAAGGTATGATGAGATTAGACAAATCGAAGAAGTGCTTCTGATCTGATGAGCTTTTTCTTGTTTACTAATTATTTTGTCTTTTCTTCAGAACTTGTAGTGGGTAAGCATTTATACCACTAACACACAAACTAACGGCCACATCCAAGGTAGGAACCTTAATGGGCTCCATGATAGGCCCTCTCAAAGATCTACCTCTAAAAGGTCCAGTAATGGGATCAGTAATGAGCCAACTTGAAGACGAGTTAGTAACAATAAGGTTTTTCATAAGAAAACAAATAAAATAAAAAGCTTAAAATAGTAAGTAAAGTAATATGAACACAGTAATATTGTGCGATGGTAGTAATATTGTGTGATAGTGTATTATTGTTACTTTCAAAAAGAAAAGAAAAGAAAGGAAAAAAACCTGTTGTCACTGCAAATTGGTTTCATTCTATCAGTGTTTTTTGGTTTGTCTTGGAATATGTGAATCGCCTCTAGGGTTCGATTCGAACATAATCGTACTTGGAAGCTACAGGAAAGAGATGGGCGAATCTCAGAATCTAGTCGCTGAGAGCTTTTCTTGGTCTTTAAAGACTTTGTTTATTTTATCGATAATCTTCACTCTTCACAGCTTTCCATTTCAAGCTCAAGCTGCTCCTGCTGGTACTTAATTACCAACTTAACTTGAGTTAATTTTGCTTGATTATTAGTGATTCGAGTGCTCTGATCTGATCACTCACTTTCTTATTTAGTTATTCCACTCTTTCTAAAGGCTCTGAATTTGCTGTTGAATCTCTTGGTTTTATATGTCAATTTTTGTAAAATGGAATCCAGGTTCATTGATTAAGCACATGTCCTGGGTTTTGAAGTGGACTACTGGATCATCCTCTAAAATATCCCAATCAGGTAATTGCTCAATTCGGGCGATTGATTTTGTTAGCTTGAATGCTTTCTTGTTAGCCAAAAAAAAAAAAAAAAAAAAAAAAAAAAAAAACTGGGTTTGATTTATCGTTTCTCTATCTGCTTTCTTGTGCAGATACTAATGTTCTTCAGTTTGAGAATGGTTACTTGGTCGAAACCGTTGTGGAAGGAAGCGAAATCGGTGTTGTTCCTTACAAGATTCGAGTTTCCGATGATGGAGAGCTTTACGCTGTTGATGAAGTTAATAGCAACATCATGAAAATCACCCCTCCTTTGTCCCAGTGTAAACTCTCCATCTCCTTGAATTTTTTGATTTATGACTCAGTTCTTATCTGTTTGCAGTTAGTGTATAAAACCCGTGATTCCGGATGATCTTGAGCTCGTGTAATTTGCTTAGGCAAGCTTGTGTCATTACGTTTTGTATTTCACTCTTCTGTTTTGTTTCTGTTGGTTTTTTTCATCTTGCTTTAGTGTTGGATATTGTTATGACTTTGTTTATATTCTGTGTGATTATGGGCAGACAGCAGGGGAAGATTGGTGGCTGGATCGTTTCAAGGAAAAACAGGACATGCAGATGGAAAACCGAGCGATGCTCGTTTTAATCATCCGAGAGGAGTGACAATGGATGATAAAGGGAACGTTTATGTCGCTGATACTTTGAATCTAGCCATCCGAAAGATTGGAGATTCAGGTATGCAAGTTTTCTCTATGAGTTGAACTAAGATTTGCACTCAAACTAAAGGGGATTGGTGGCTTGCTTGTGGTTGAAAAGTATAATAATTCCGAACCAAACTGAGAAGGAATTTAAGAGTGTGTGATATTTTTCAACAGGTGTTACTACAATAGCTGGGGGGAAATCAAATGTGGCTGGGTATAGGGATGGACCAAGTGAGGATGCAAAGTTCTCAAATGATTTTGATGTTGTATATGTTCGGCCTACCTGCTCGCTGCTGGTCATCGACAGAGGAAACGCAGCTCTTCGCCAAATCTCTCTTAGTGAAGAGGACTGTGACTATCAGTATAGCTCAATCTCTTTAACTGGTAACAAGTCTAAAACACCTTAACCCATTGTGAACTACACAGATCATTTTGAATACTTTGTTCAGAGGTGGGTCCAGAGTGTTGACCAAAGATCATTGCTTGCGCTTACATTTGTCGATTTTCTTTCCTTCTTGTACAGATATCCTCATGGTTATTGGTGCCGTTGCCATTGGTTATGCTACTTGTTTCCTCCAGCAGGGTTTTGGACATTCTTTTTTCTCAAAGACGGTAAGTTTCAATCTCTTCTCTTTCGTGCCTTTTGTTCGGATCTCGTTAGCCATATGCTACAAACAACAAAGGTTTTTGGTTTTATATCACAGCAGCTAAGCTCAGAAACCAGCTTTGAAGAGGAGCATCAAGGCAAAGAGAAACTCTCTCGACCTGTCCTTGAGACAACAACCAAGGAAGAACCTGGTTGGCCATCATTTGGGCAACTCCTTATCGATCTCTGCAAACTGGCTCTAGAGTTTGTAACCAACCACCTAGTCCCAGCCCGATTCAAAACCAGCCACAATCTAAGGCCACTAAAGGATAGACTCAAAATGCCTGAAGACGAACAGGAACCACCTTTAGTCCAAAGGCATACCGCCCCAGTGCCAATCTCTGAATCCCGACATGCCCACTTGCCTAAACCGAGTGATAGTTACCCCGGACACAAGACAGCGAAGATGAGATCAAGTAGTGCAATAAAGGATCCGACTTTGACATCATCCAAGCACCACCGGTCATCATCAAAACGGCAGGATTATGCTGAGTTCTATGCCTCGGGAGAGGTTGTCCAACCGAAGATCCATAAAGAGCGATCGAGGCGTCGCCATAGAGATAAAACATTCGATACAGAACCAAAGAAGGCATCATCAGATACTGTGAAGCCTGTAGAGTACAGTAATAGTTCAAAGTTTGATCATTTCAACATGAGGAGCAGCAAGTATGGACCTGAAAATCCTTTTCGATTCTAGAAATTTCAAATCACATCCTCATTAGAACCTTGCTTTGGGGGAGGTTGGTTATGTTTTTGTAGTTTCTGAGAAAATTCTTATTACACACATGAAGAGGAGAAAGGGTAAAGGATTGTTGATTTCTTCCAGAAACTCGGATTTCTTTTGAACCTTACTTAACACCTCTATAAATTCTGGCTCTTCGTTACTATAAAAACCGCTATAAATTCTGTTTTGTTTCAAATATTATCATCATAAATGGCGCGAGAGACTACACTTAGTTACCATCGTCTTTATCTTCAACTTGGTCTCCGTCTTCATCTCTCTCTAGAACTTGTAATATCTTCTCTATTGTTCTACTTAAGCCGACGATTAATCAGTTTAAGTAAATTCCAAGTAGGGATTCACTTGAAATTTTAGTAATTGGATCTGTAATTTGTTTACAGAGAATCATTCCTTTGAGAAATGATCAAACTAAACAAAGTAGAAATATTAAATTTATACAAGGCCTACCTCTAAAACTGATTTGTTTTACATAATCAGTCAATATTTAACACGAATTCACATAATCCGAGTTACTTGCTTGGGTCACACTCCATCCTCTTTCTAAACCTGACTATCTCTCTTCGATTTCACTTCTGTATGTATACATTTCCGATTAAATATTTTCTTATAAATTTGATTTATTGAGTCCTACTTATCCTATCAGAAACGGACTCTTTTTATATATATATATATATATATTCAGATTCAAATAGAATCAAATACAGTAACAAATATGCTATAATCTTGCTTTTCTATGTTGAAAAAATTTCTCACTAAACCATATAATTGTAAAGAATCTCATTCCAAGTATCCGGTACGCCAGAGAGACACCAATGGCTGCAATCATTGCCGGTTCGACCACCTAGACCATAAGCCGAAGGATGACCATCTTTGCGAAGCAATGAAAGCATCGTAATGTCTAGCAACGTCACCGGTTTCGATATTTTCCCGAGTGCTCTCTTCAAAACTCCAACTTCTGCTGGCAATCCTCCTGGATACTTTGTCCCCAAAAGTGGTTCCTTTTGTCCTGCGCAACTCTTTGCTGTTGGTTCACCCCACAGAGCTCCTCTGTTTACACAAAAGAATCAGCATTTTAAATCAGAATAATTTAGATTGATTTGTCTTTTATATATAACAACTTACTTGTAATGAGACGGTGAGATTCCTTGAAAAAAGACTCTAGTTTTCTGAGTATCTACGACTGTATCGACCCATTTGCCCCAAGTCCCAAGTGCGATTTCGAATGCTTCCACACGGTCCATGTCCTTTGTAACGTTACTCCCTATTTGAATCCAATCCCATCTGCCAAAAGCAGAACAAAAAAAAAGAACCAATTTTTTTATAAAAAAAAATATATCAAAGTGTATGTAATTAAGCCAAGAATAAGCAAATTAAAGAAAATCCAACGTACGGTTGTGAAGGACCTCTACGGCTCCACCAATGCCAAGTATTGAAAATCAATGTATCCATTTCTGACCAATTCTTTCCATCATTAACAGAATCAAGCCTCAACACTCTCCCAATCTTCTCCCTCATTATATCTACCAAATACACATTCCTATCAAGCTTCAATTCCACTCCATACTCCTGTAATTACATATTTTCACCACTTTCGGTTTAGTTCGGTTTAACTCATCCCGGTTTTTTTTAATTCGGGAGTACTTAACCAAAACATGTGTAGAATTGGTTATTACCTGAAATGTGAAGGTTGAGATACTGCCTTGTGTGGTTAAAGTATAAGAAGAATTGGGAACAGAAGAGTGAAGCATACATGTCAAAGATTGCCATTGATTTAGGCTAAGAGAATCCCCAACAAACATTATCTTCTTCCCTTTATTTTTCTCCAAAAACTCAGCTCCATTGAACCTACACACCACCAAACCAAAACAGAAAACGGTGGCGTTTTATGGCGGTGACATAAATGAAAATGAACGTAAAAAAATAAAAACAGCAGGGCAAAATCGTCAAGAGCTTGAGTTAGTGTCCCCACATGTGTGGGGGAATTTATGTCTTCTTATGAAGCTATAGAGTTTGGTGGGTGTCCTAATCTCACTGACGGCGCGTGAAGCTCACGCCAGAACCACCAGTTGGCATATTGTGACAAAATAGTTCGTTTTTCATCTCGTGCAGATTAGAGATTCCAAAACACAGCATTCAATTATGGCAAAACATGTATATAAATAGCATTCTCTTTTCTCATTGGTCGCTCACTAAAAAGTGCTTTGCAAAAGGTATATACAAACATCTGTTAAAAAAAATTGGTTTTCATATAAAGTATATTTATAAATGAATCAAATCTAGATTGACAACAAAAAAATGAATCAAATCTAGATTTTTCACACTAATGAGCTGTTACGTTTATTTATAATGAAAACACATTTTGAACCTATTCTAGTAATACCTTTTTCTTCCATATTTTTTAGAACTTCCTTTTCCCTCATATTCATTAATTTAATATCAAATTACAACAAATAAAAACTGACGAATTGATTAAACAAAAATATATTTTTAAAAAGCGAATACTAAGAAATTTTGATGTGTTTGTTATATATTCATAACGATACCTTGATTCAATATAACTAGTAACAAACAAAAATTTAAAGAAAAAAATAGTTTAAATTATAATGATACCTTGCTAATTTGCAGCCCTGAGGCTGCCATCTGAAGGTAGGGTAATCGAGATCCGGCCGTCCATTTTTCTTGCAAGCGAACTCGCGTCGTATGAAAGGACACGTGGATGGATCGTAGAGTGGATAAGAAGCGTCCTTCACCCACCGGCCCGTGAACATATCACATCCCTCTGCTTCGTGAAGAAGAGGAAGAAGAAGAAGAAGCGATAACACTAATGCAGAGCCATAAGAAATGGCGTTATCCTTAAAACCCATTTCAACGCAGATGAGAGAGAGATAGAGATTCAAATACGCATCTGGCCTTTATACACCCACGCATCTATATATATATATATATATATATATATATATATAATTTTGTCATATTAAAAGAGGTTTTTTTTTACTGAATGAATATATGCACCATAATGCCATACTTGGTTTGGTAAGAAACTCTGAAATCAAATGTCAACATTTCTTTGTAGTGTATTTAGTATTTACTACTTAATAGCGTGATTTATTAACAATTTTATTTTAATATGTTTTTAGTAACATAATTACATGGTCAATAACTTTAATGATATGACTTTAGTGCGATATTTATTCCTATAAATTACTTCGAGATCATGCTTAAATTTTCTTTCCCTGAATTAATCGATTTGTTCGGACCATCAAGTTTCTGTGAAGGCGTTTCTTTTTGTTATGTCTATTTTAAAATGATTTCACTGCGCCGGTGCCCTCCCGTGAAAATCTTGTGGACCTATAAATTGATATTTTTAATCATCCCGTTAAGTTTAGTTATAATTTTGTATGTGTACAAGCCAAATCATTTGCCAATAGAAAATAGACGCTGAAAGAACAACAATATATTCTGTCTTACTTATTTAATCCAAATCAATCGTTATTATGGACCTTATGGTTAGCGATTAGGCCGAATAATGCTTATTAAATGTATCATGAAACGTATTGAAATTATTGAAAAGATAATTGACTAAGACAATCATATTCGGGAGATATATACAACGTTTGCCAAAAAAAAAAAAAAAAAAACGTATTGAAATTATTGAAAAGATAATGACTAAGACAATCATAGTCGGGAGATATATACAATAATGCCGAATCATATGTTCAGAATTATTTGATGTTTAACGTTCTTGCATACAGTTTAAAGATTTATTTAATTTTTATTTTTCATATACTAAAAATATTATTTATAATCCATTTAAATATCATTCAGCCAATAAGAAGACAATCTGCAGAATATAAAAGGTCAAAAACTATAAAATTTCATTAAACTTTGTATTGAAAAGTGAGAACATCAAATAATTCTGAACAAAAAAAACCTTCTAAAACATCAAATAATTCTGAACAGAAGGAGTATGTTGTAAATTTTCAAAATTTTAGTCGCTTATAAAAAAAATAGTGGTAGACATAATATGATCAATGGAGTTATAGGTTGTAAAAATGATAATAATAGAAATGTACAATTTTAACTGTAAATTTAGTATTTTTACGGGTCTAATTTACATATGTTAAAAATTATTTTGAAGAAATTTAAAAATATATAAAAATAAATAAATCATATGTGTAATCATGGGTATCCGTGGAACCATACTCATAAATCATAAATAAATATTACCAACCATATTCATCATAAGGAAATCAACAACAAAGAAGAAGAAGAAGAATCAGCATATGACTTAGTGTTAGAAAATAGCTTTATTACAAAACTTCAAAAAAAAAATCTATCAAGCTCTGGTGGTTCAGTACGCTGAGTGAAATTTAATTTTAATGTTAGACTTGTATATAACCTTTCTAAACCGCATTATAACCGTCAAATAAAAACGACATTATAACGATTGTATTCAGAAAAGTAAAAGCCAAATCATACGTCAAATGAACAAAATGAAAAGAAAAGATGTTAACAGAACAACAATACATTTTGTCTTCACTCGCATTACTTGATCTAAATTGTTTCGGACCTTTATATTATCTGACGATACATTGTGTTTCCGAAAACGTTTCTTCTAATTGTCTTAAATAAAATAATTATAATTCATAAAAAAAAAAGAACTTTACAAAACGCAAACAAAAAGTCATAATTACTTACTCCATATATAATCTCCTTTTTATTTGTTGTTGCAAAGACATTCATAATAACCATAATTAAGTTCTAGTGTTCCAATAAGCGGAATCAAGCTTAACAGGGTAAAGATCGCCGGCGTTGGCCGTGGAAGTAGAAGACGACGTGTAAGGTCCATCGGTGGTGGTTGTCTGATCCGTCTGCATATTCGTCATCTCCTCTCCACTTATCATCGCGTAATGCTTCTTCATGGCCCTCACGCTCTCTTCGTCTTTCTCGCTTCCTCTGTTGAACGAAGCTTCTAGAAGCTTCTCAACATCCACCGTCGAATGTCCTTCGAGCATGCTCACCACCGTCGACATCGACGGTCTGTCCGAGGGAACTTGACTGGTGCAGAGTATCCCTATCTGGATCATCGTCATTGCTTCTTCTCTGTTGTAATCTGTTCCTAGCCTCGGGTCTACTACTTCCATCAGTTTGTTTTGTTCCCTTAGAACGTGTACCTGTGGAAGAAAACGAGACTCAGATCCATGGTTTCTGTTCAGAAAATGTGTTTAGGGTTTTAGCCTTTTAGGGTTTCTTTAGTTACCCAGTCAAGAAGGTAGAAGGTATCGGCTTTGGATCGCGAGCTCGTGTTGCTTCTTCCGTGAACGATTTCAAGAGCCACAACGCCAAAACTGTAGACGTCTGCTTTATCTGTCAAATGCCCTCTCATGGCGTATTCTGGAGCCATGTATCCGCTGCACACACACACACACACAAAAAAAAAGTTTTGGTTTTGGTCACAAGGAATCTCAAGACTTGTATTGATTTGATTGATTGATAGAGAGACTCACTATGTTCCGGCAACTCGGGTGCTGATGTGTGTGTTTTCCTCTTCATCAAGCTTAGCAAGACCGAAATCAGAAATCTTTGGATTTAGTTCCTTATCCAGCAAGACATTAGTTGCTTTGATGTCTCTGTGCACAATCTTGAGTCTTGACTCCTCGTGAAGATAAGCTAGTCCTCTCGCTATTCCCACACAAATCCTCTGCCTCGTTGGCCAGTTTAGTCGTATCTGAGTCTCTTGAGGACCTTTAAAAAAATTCAGAAAACAAAAGTTGTTGAGCCAAATATATATATATATATATATAACGTCTTAAGCCAAAAATCATTTTAAAGCGGGAAACTAACCGAAAAGTGCTCTGGCGAGACTGTTGTTTTCCAAGTACTCGTAGACTAGCAATAGCTGGTCACCTTCGACGCAACATCCATATAGTTTAACCAAATGTGGATGTTGGAGAGCAGAAATCATACCAATCTCGTTCAAAAACTCTCTATTCCCTTGTTTTGATTTTGACGACAGCTGCTTCACGGCGATCACGGTTCCATCAGATAACCTTCCCTGTTTTCATACAGTGGACAAAACCTTTTAGTCATACATGTATTCATCATATCAAATGTCATTTTGTACATTATGATGCTAACCTTGTGTACAGGACCGAAGCCACCTTCTCCGATCTTGTTTGCGGGATCAAAGTTGTCTGTAGCAGCTTTGATCTGCCTCAACGAGAAGGAACTAATCTGGAAATCCAAGTTCTTGAAATCTGAGGTGAAGAAACACCATAATGTTTAGCAAGAAACAGAGACTTAACTCAAAATCAATTGGAATGTTAAAGGCTATTTAAGCAAGTACCTTTTTCCATCTGACTCTTGGGTCTTAAGCAGCCTCTCCACCATAAAATACCGCCGATTAAAAGCACAAGAAACACCGTTGACCCGATTACAGAACCAACCACTGTACCAACAGAGCTTCCACCACCACTTCCGGTGCCTTCTTCCTCTGGTGGAATGAAACCATCTGTAGGAAGATCATGATCATGGGAGAGATAAAGTCAAGAGACAGCAACAAAAAAACACGAAATCTCTCTGAGATAGTTTCGGGTTTAGCAAAGTTTACTTGGATCAACTGACACAGCCGATATGAGAGAACCATATACACCTCTTACAGGCAAAGCTTGAGTCCCTTTACCAGCCCAAAACAACCTTATTTCCAATTTCCCATTTGTTATTCTGACCGGAAAACTCTTAACCACAACTCTTCCAGCACCTTTTGCCTCCTCCACAATATTGAAATCCTTAACCTCAAGTTTACCCTGCACATTACAACACCAGCCAAATTTTATTTAACCATTACCATCTTTCAGACATTTATAAGACCTGACAAGTTTGATTAAGAATTTACCTGAACGTATATGTCAAAGAATCGTCGTCCCAAACTCTCATAAGTGTTATTGTCTTTGAACATAATTTCAGCGAAATGAAGATTGACCGTGTAATTCCCTTCTCCAAGACACAAGGCATAGTAGGTGAGAGAGATGGCCGAGAGACGAGCATGCGTATAAAGCCTAGGATCTGCTGTCTTAGTCTCTGACGTATTTTCACATAAGGTGGTACCTTTGGGAGACCGTTCATCATCCAAGAATTTTCCCGCGTTGCTAGAAACCCAACCGTTTCTACTATCATAGAAGCTCATATCCGATGCGTCAGCATCATACTTAGTCTTGTTGATTGTTACTTCATTACCACCACAGTTTATATGAAGGCCATAGAAAGCTGAGAAAACAACGATTATTAACCAGAAAGGTATATATATATATATCAGATGAGCGGCTAGATTGTAAGTGATATGGTTTCATTGAGTTTGTATGTGTAATGTGTGAATAGCTTCAAAAAACTTACTTTTAGGACATACATAGTTACTCAGACACGAAACGTTTGAGCTGTGGCAAAACATAACATAAATTATCAATATTCTAGTTAGTGTTAGAACAAAAAAAAACGAAAAAAAGACTTACTAGTTATTTGCCACCAAAGGACTTGTGCTTGAAAACATATTCCTGCAAATAAAAAAGAACCAAGAAATCTGTAAGCTATAGCTAACTTGAAGGCACGAGAAAAGTTTAAGCGTTTATTGCTCTTCTTACACGTCCTTCTGCAGACATTGTGAGGTTCTGGGATCTCTGGAGAAGTTGTTGTAAGTAAGATCACTGCAAATATAAGATACGATAACCACAGAAATTAAAACGTTATTCTGATTTGTCACTATAAAAAGACTGGTGTTGTAGTAAATCGGTGAAGAAAAACCCACATCTTGTCTCCTTGGTCTACCATCCAATTTGGTACGCTCCCGTTTAACATGTTACTAGTAAAATATCTGCGAAGATCAGAACAAAAAAAAAAAAAAAAAAAAGAAATTTCACCGCATTTAGCTCTCATTTCTCATATAAGTAAAGCTTTTAGCAGAACATGAAGAAAGAAGAGAAGACCAGAGCAGAGCATCATACATGTTATCTACATTCGAAAGAGCGCTATATTCTACCGGGACTGGTCCACTTAGTTTGTTAAAACTAACATCTCTGCACAACGAGTCTCAAAAATGTGAGATTTAATTCCTTTTACACCAAAAAAAATAATAAAAAATCGATTTGATGCTTGGCGAAGAACAAATAGTTTACTAACAAGAGTTTTAACGTTGTGATCGGTCCGAGATAAGCAGGTAATTCTCCTGTAAGATTGCAGTTCCTAAGAACCCTGAAACAAGCAGCGAGTGGAAACGGAAGTTAAGCTCACCAAAGGTGGGAAGAAACCATTACCAAAGTTCGTCTAATCTTTAGGCTCAAACTCACAAATTCTTCATCGAAGTCATGTTTTGTAGTGGCGGAAATGGAGATTCGGGTCCGCTTAAGTCACTGATTCTCCTACAAAATTTTTAAGTAACAATGAGTACCATTGATAGTAAGTCCACGAAAGGCGACAACAAGACGCGAAGGTTGGTGTGTACTTACAAGTCTGTTAAATTCCTAAGAGGACTAATGGTACTAGGAATCGGTCCGACTAAACCACTTGCTTGAATAACCCTGATTCACATGCACCAAACCAGCATTCCACTCAAATACCGATTATTGAAAAACCAAAAAAAGTCTGATTAAGCTGAAAGGATTGATTACAATTTTTCAAGTTTTGTCCAGTTCTGGATGAAATCTGGTATAGTACCGGTGAACTGGTTGTCACTTATACGGCTATAGATCAAGAGAACAACATACACACACAAAAAGTCAGAATCTCCTTCAAAATTATGCATTGTGATATATATATATATATATATAAAAGCAGAGGAATACTTACAAATCAGTCAATGTAGTAAGTTTGGAAAATGTACTTGGGATTTCCCCACTCAAGAAGTTCGAGCTAAGAAGGCTACAAGGAGAAAACAGAGTCTCAACACTAGTAAAGACCAATAACTGTTTTTTTTATAAGAAAAATGAACACTTTTTAGAGAACTTGGACAAAGATTCTTACAGCCTTTGAATGTTTGGTAGATTCCCGAGCTCTGGAGGCAATTCCCCTGAAATCTGGTTGTATTCCAAGACACTATAACCCAAATATTCCAGAGAAAAAAAAATACAAAATCAGAGACTACCACAGTATGATATTATCTGAAACATTATTAAAGAGAGAGAGAGAGAGAACAGAAGTGTACTTACAGGCTCGAAAGGGTTGTAATGTTTGCAATCTCTTTTGGGATTGGACCATTTATCCGATTTCCAAGTAATGAGCTGCATTTCATCATCCAACAAATATTTAATAAATCAAATCTAAGCATACATACATATGTATATGAACTGAGATGCGCAAATACATACACGTTGACAAGTGGCAAGGCTCCCCATTCGGGAGGAATGGATCCGTTGAGATAGTTTCTAGACAGATCACTTCAAAAATAAGAAAATAGTGACAGTTAAGTTAGTTAATGAAAGACAATGGATAGTGGCAGATATTGTAATAATGGGAATGTTCGAGGGCTAAAATATTAGCTATTCAGCTTCTTACAACTCTTGCAGAAAAGGAAGTCCCACGAGTTCTTTAGGAAGAGATCCTTGAAGGCTTTGTGACTTGAGAATTCTGTTTCAAGATTAAGAGGGAAAAAAAAAACAGGTTTTCAACGGTTTGCAAGATATAGGCCCATCGGCCCAATAGCATTCAACAAAAAGGTAAAAAATAACTAAATGTAAAATTAATTAGTTTATAGTTGGATGGATTCACGGACGCGCCAAAGCAAAAAGTCAACAGCGACTGCGTCAAAGATGATTGTCTACATTCAGGCAACTAAACCTAACGATTGAATATAATATATATTTTAATTAATTACTTTGATGTTAATAGGCTTTGGAAAATGAGACCTACTTCGAACAAGTCTAACATAAACAATTCACCAATACTAATAATATTTTGAATTTCTTCCGTGCTTAATATTATGGAAATTTATAGAAAAAGATAGGGAAGATATCCAAAAAAAATATATTACTAAAACAATAAATAAATAAATAAATAAATAAAGAGAAAAAAGGGAAGAAGAGACGAACGCACATGCTGGTGACGTGGCAAACGGTGGAGCAGTTACAAGTAACGGCGTCTTCGAAATTTTTGCCGGCGTTAGGATTTCTCCATCCTCCGTCAGATAAAGTTTGGTCGCATGGATCCACATTGAAATTCCAATTAGTCTTCTTCAGCGCCTTCGCTACGGCTCTTAAAGCATCCACTGCCAAATATTCATATTACACAGACAACTTTAAATCATTCACTGATTGCAAATATATACATATGTGTGTGTGTATATATATACCTTCTTCTTTGGGTAGTGTTTGAGAGGATGTGAAGCCTGAGAGAATGAGAGAGACGAGGAAGTAAGGGAAGATAAGTCGACTTAACGACATTTTAACATTAGGGTTTCGAAGATCCGTATCGATAATCGAGTAAAGTCGAGATTTTTGTTTCCTTTCTTTCGATTTTGTTATAATTTTGTTGTGTGAGAGGAGATGCGATGAGAGTGAAGAAGGGGTTTGTTTATGTGATGATTTGCGAAGAGACTCACGAAGACATTTGAGAGATGATGAGTAAGTCAACAATATTAAAATAATACTATTTTATTTTTTAAATCAGTATAAGATTTTTTTTTAATTTGCTACTTGCATAAACAAAGAGGGCCAGTCTGAGAAAAACAAAGGGGGCCAGCGAGTTGTTCAGAATCAAAATAATTCATTGCTTTTTTCGTAGGTCTTATCTTTTTATTCCGGCCTATGTCTTAATTAGAAGAAAATAACTATTACTATAAAACAGTTGGTTTCTTTTACCAGCAACACATATAGAACAGATGGTTGCAGTTTTTCTAAAAAGAAAGAAGAAAAAATTATTCAAAAATAAATCAGATATATTGCGTACATTTTCAAGAGAGACGAGGTTTTTGATTGTCATTTTCATGAATGATAAGATATAATCATATAGATGAGTCTCTACATTTACCCTGCTACCATCATTTTATATGTTAATTTGTTGCAAGGGAATCAAATGTTTTTTTTTAAAAAAAAGAAGGTTTGAGATTGATTTCTAATATTGTTTTCCTCCCTAGCAAATAGCAACATAAGAAATAAGTTACTGATTTTTAATTATTTTTTATTTAGTATTCACCCAATAAAGATATATAATTGTTTCAATAGAAGGGTAGGTAAATTTTGTCTACATTTCATAGCTCTATTCTTAGGTATAAATACAATGTCTATCATATACATAAATAATAGAATCAATCACATATAAATTGTTTGCAGAGATGAGAGACCACAACTCCATATGTTTTAATGATTTGTGCTAATATAGTCGTTGTGTCGTCATTTAAATTTAAAACTGTATTTTGTATTTTGCTAAAATAGACAGAAAGACAAGGGTAATGCTCGAAAAATCAATTTATTTACAAATGAATCAACTAGAATGGTTATAGCGCACGGTATTTGAATCAGCTAAAATAAAGTCTTTCTGCAGTACTTTGCTTTCCATAAGTGAACCGTGTGTGATATTATCAAGATCTAAAACCTCTTATGTGAACCATTTTGGTGGGATTTGTGACATATGTACATTTTTCGTATTTTTTTTATAATTATTTTAGTAAATTATATAGATTGTTGGATGGAGTCATCGACTTACAGGAAGGAAAAAACGCAGCAAGTCGGAGACAGCTTTAATCCTTTTTTATTTCTGAAAAATTAATATTGGAGAATTTTTAGAAAATGCTGTGGTCATTGTTTTCTTAGCTTTAGGTCGTGATCAGTGTTATCTCGAATATGTGAACCAAACTCTACCATTATACACTAAAACAAACAAACAAACAAAAAATTCTTCTACATACCATCGTTTCCATGAAATGTATGTACGTAAGACCCCTTATAATTACGTGGATTACGTTAGATTTTTTTTTTTCTCTCTCTGGTAAATCGTGGAAAACGTAAGTTTGGAGGTTTTTTTAATCAACGTTCCCACGTCGTATCGCTAGCTGGTCGACTTTATCCTAACTCCACATAGATTATTATGAATGTTACGCTAGTCTTCTACACTTCTATAAATAATAAAAAAAGGATCAAATTATAAAAAAAAATAAAAAAAAGGATCAAGCTAGTTGATTAATTAGCTATCTGTTGTAGGTGGGCTGAGCACAACCCCTTTTTCGTAATTCCACAAAAAGCCCATTAAGGTCAAAGATCAATAAGCCCATTCGCGAAGAGCAAAACGAGGTCGTTCGAGTAGATAACCCAACAAAATCTAAGGAACAGCTCGCCACGTCGACAAGGATGAAACAGCTCGCCAGCACGACGCTCCGATAGATGGTCGGTCAGGTTTATCTGCCCGGCCGCCCAAGCTACTCTGACCGAGATGTAACCTAATTTAAGCACTATAAATAGCCTTGTAACTTCATTTATTACGGAGGAGGTAATCCGAAATAAAGACAAAAATACTCAAGACTTAAATCTTTAACTCTTACCTCGCTTACTTAACCTCGTAATACCACCTCGAAGACTTCATATCGATCTCACCTCTATTCAAACAAAAATCTCCGAGCTCCACCTAGAAATATTTACCAAAGTGACCTCGCCTGCGAATACAATACAACACTATCTATATTTGTAGCTAATTTTGAAATATGAACTAATTCACAATGTTTTTGAAAATTTGCTAATGATATGATAATAGTGACAGTGTTGGCACGTTCTCTTATCATCTTTGCAAAATCTATATATCTTCTATACTTCCATACCAGCAGCACAGTAGTAGTTCATTGAATCAAACATTACCTTTTGATCGAAGAATGAATCTCGAAGACAAGTCAAAGCCACTCATATTAGACTCGAGACAGATAAAAATACTGATTAATTAAATCTCGATAATAAATATCTATGAAAAGTCGTCAAGACAATTCTCAAAACTTTAAGTCATTTATTCAGTGGGACCTTTATTCAATAATAAAGAATATATTACTTTCTAACCTAACAATTTCTCATTAACCATCGAGTCCACTAATTAATTCATTTCATTACAATGTTCACGAATTTGGAAAACGTTCCATGATTTTTTTTCATCTTTTTTGAGGTATTCACATTATAACCAAAATCCAGAAAACGTAGTTTCTTCGGGTCAAACATCGTCAAATATGAACAAACTAGAAAAGGGAACTAATTAGGTAATCAAATTAATGTACGTAGTGGACTCACTTTATTATACTATAACGTGTTAGTCTTTATTAAACTTACGTTCCAACTGCATGTGTCTCTGACCCACTAAACATATAAATGAATGTCCATTTGTCTACTTTTGTTTATTACTTTAATCATTTTTATATGACTTTCGTCAGATTGGTTGAAAGAAACTACAGATGTATTATGTATAGCCTTTAAAGCGTAGTGAGTCCATCATCAATATGTGCCGCCTGCCGGACAGCACTTGTGGGGGTTAATGATTTAACTATACAAAAGTTACCGAGGGGCAAACTAGTCTGTTCACACATGTGTAGTAAACTGTGCCGTACGTTTGTGTAAATCAGAAAGATTCAGAACTCGAAAGCGTTATTGAGCTGGACAGAGAAAGAAGGCGGGCCAATACTTGCAAGAGGAGTATCATTCCATTTCGACCGACCAAAACTGCAGTTTTCGATTGAGAAACACAAAATAACTAAGTTATGGCCATGAGTAACAAGAAACGTTCATGCTTTAGGAAGATATGTGTGTTGAGCGCGTAGCCATATATCAGATTCAAATCATTGCTTAGCGTATGAATAACTTCTGCTTTCATCCCGGGATTGCTTCCACCAAATGTGGGACATACACTGTTACGGTTTATGAATTATGTAAACAATTTTTCTTTCTCTTTTTTTTTTTTTTTTTTTTCCGGTTCAATGGGGGTACGGGTTTAAGAAAAGCTTTACCTGAGTTGAATTGTTGGTTTCATCAGTTATCCGGATCTACGCCAAGCCAAGAATTATCCAATTCAAATGATTTGTCAGGCTAATGTACCATGGTAACTGAAAATCCATAAAGGACTGTCCGAAGCACGGACAAGACAACTTCAGGGAATCAGTTCCGCAAAAAGTAAGAACATAAATAGAACTTCTAATGGAAATGCGTCTTACACAAGATAACGGATTGAGACAGAGCATTAACATCATAAGCCACCTGCGATGCTTTTACCATAAAGCTGGACAAAGTGAATGCATATTTTCTGCAACGAAAATTAACTAACTCACATGAGTTTTGGGACAGAATTTGAAAAGGAGAAAACACTCATTATAAAGGGCAAAATATTTAAGCATACCTTCCTATCATATCCATACCATACCAGAGCAAGTGTTGTTTTGGTAAGTGTAAAGTGTTGTTTTGATAAGTGTAAAATGTTGTTTTGATAAGTGTAACGGTAAAAGAAGAGTCAAATCGCGTAGAAAAAGAAGCGGTCCAAGCTGGAGAAGAAAGAGAGACTAAGTTCCATCGCTTGCAGGAGTACTTGAACTCGAAGCTTCTACTCTCCAGAGGTCTCCCCTGGCTACCAATGAATGTTCGATATATTCTTTGTTCTACTATATCATAACTTGATGACATATCAATCTTACCCTGCATTAACCGACAAATCTATAGTTACTAGATATACCTTCATTCTTGCAGGAACATAACAGAACATCACCAAAAAGGAAAAGAAGACTCCTAAAACCCACAGATACAACGTAGAAGTTTACATTAACTTTGCAAAACATCACACGCATCACAACATTAAAAAAATTTTGAAATTCATTTCACCACACAGTTTTATGGTAGTTTTGCTAGATCAGGATCAAAAACGGCATCTTTCTTTGCAATTCTTTTTCTACATTTTCATCCTTGATAACCTGTTTTCTATGAGCTATCCTACATTTCAACTCAATCTAGATATCCCTATAGTAATGAAACTATAAGGCAGGGCACAGACGAACAAGAAGTACAAAATCGGTGGAAAACAAGTACCTTTGATCTTAAAAACAAACCAGCCGTTCTTAGATAGGAATCTGCAACTTCCTCCTCCGACGTAAAAACAGAAACAGTATCATCAGTCTTAGAAAACCCCTGAGCCCCTCAATCGTCCTGCAGCTAAACCCAATTCATCTTTTGTGTTCACATAAGCCTTAAGGCTCCTTGTACTCATATCACCTTCACCAAACCTGTTATCGTCGTGCAGGAACAAACGGTAAAGCATCAGGTTCAATCGTCAGGCGTTACGGAGATGCCATGGAATTAAGGAAGTGAATGTTGAACGAGAAGTCGCGAAGAACGCACACAGACACCTTAAATGGCGGTAACTTGTAAGGTGTTAAGTGTTAACTGATAAAATCTTTTGTCCTTGATCTAGCGGAACCTTCTGATCCCCACTACAGGGTAACGACAAAGATGAGTTCGGTAAGCTTACCCTAACCGGAATCTAACTTAATTTCGGTTAACGATAACCATAACTTAATTTTTTTTTATCGTTAACCAACTTAAATGGGCCCGTTTATTAAAAGGCTTCTCCGTTTGTTTTTCCGTAGGCCTATTACATTATTAACCACGTGCTCATTACATTATTGGCCACTCCTTCGTTTTCCTTCCAGATATTATAAATATTATATATAGTTATATACACACAATATACATATGATACGTTGACAAGAAAATATATGGTCCCCAATTTCATATCTTAAAAAAAAAGTGAGAATCTTTGTGTTTTGAATTATTGGTTAATGGGAAAGAACTATAGAAGACAATTAAGATAAGAAATAGTGGTAAAGTGCATAGATGATAATCCAGTTATTTAAATCAATTTTACGCTGTTACTAAAAAAATATCTAAAGTTGCCACCTGCATTTAGAAATCACATTTTTCTTCTAAACTACTATAAAGTTACCATATGCATTTAAACTATAAAGTTGCCACCTGCGTTTAGAAATAGTGGTAAAGTGCGTAAAGTTGATTATCAACAAAAAGGTTTACGCTGTAAAGACTAAACATATGTTCATCGACATGCATTTAAACTATAAAGTCGGCCACCTGGTAGCGACAAATAAAAAGGAGAATAAGGTTGTAACCTGTTCACAGTTTATTTGGGACCAAATTTTAGCAGGAAAAATCAAAAATTTACTTCGAAACGTGAGTATCTTTTATTTCTTTTTTATTAAAAACTCTATCGTAAGAAAAGCGCCAGTGCAACAATGTTGATTTATATAGTAATTTAAGTAGACTTTAGTTCGCACTAGACGCGAAATTTTTATAAAATAACTTGAAAATTTAAAATGATATACAATGATTAAATAATATTAAAAAATTACTATTCATAAACTATAAAATATATCTACTTTTCAAATTTTAAAATTAAGCAGGTTATATTATTTTTCCATCTATATTCTTTTATTAATTTTATTTTATTAATAATATTTCATTATTAACTTTATCACTTATTTCTTCTATATAGTGTTGTAAGTACTGTCACCTTGATTAAATATAATCAACTGTCGGTGCAAAGCAAAATAATAACAAAATTGAGATTTGATAATTGATTGTTGCTAGGTTAAACTCTTAATCTTCACCATTACCCTTTTAAAAATAATATTTTATTACAATATATGTTAATACTTTTATAACATTTTAGGTAAAACATGGTAGTCATTATTTTATCAGGGCAAGATCTGCTACTCTACCCCGGAAAGTTTTGTTTTTCTTTTCATTTCAACCAATTTGAATAAAACAAAAATATTTTACTAGGGCAAGCATCCAAAAGGAACAGTGATCCAATGCTCTCGTAAGTACGTATTCCTTGTTCGTACGGTTATTCAATTTCATGCAATACTTAGACTAGAGTACTAATTAAACAAAATAATGGTAAACGTAAAACAAATAAAAACTTCCTTTAATGAAAGACATCCTTATTATTAAATTGTAGAAAACAGATAATCAAAGTACATTAATTAGCCTTAGATCTCTTGACTAGACATATTCAATTGTTAAGGTACTTAAGGTATTTATCTATCAATTTATCAGTGATAATTTGATACGCCTTTTCACTCGGATGATAAGAATCAAAGAACACATGTGTCGACGGATCCGAGCATGTAAAAGGAGTAAGTTTGTTGCACAATTCAACTAACTCAATTCTTCCTGTACCACAACATCCTTTATCTGCTACTTCAAATCCTACAAAATTAACATATATAATATGTTAATATTAACATTGATGTACATAAGAAAACTAAAAAACTATATCAACTCGTATCATGATTATTGATTACCGTAATTCGTAGGATTTTGTATGATATCGAGAAGAGTTTCGTAAACGTCAATAAATAGTAGTTTACTGGGCAACTCTTTTTTTAGGGCATCCAAACTAGATGATAACTTTGAGTTGAAATGAAGTGCCATGTTGTTCAAATCTTCAAAACATTCTCTTCTTAGACCTCCAAAAATTGTTCTTTGCGCCGGTACACATCCAACAGGTACTCCGCTAAACACTCCGATATTTTTAGCGCCGAGTCCAGATAATTCCTAAAATGTTAGAAACACAGATATATTAAATGATTTTATAAATGTTGTGGTTAGATATATAAATATAAGAAAAATAAAACTAACCTTGATAAACTTTGAAGCCAAATCAGCAAGATATTCAGCATATGAGTCACGGTTAAACTCGACCGATCGAACCAAATAAGTCTCAGCGAGATCATTACTGCTAGATACCACTAAAAACACACTTTTCTCCAATATAAACTTAACTTTTTCTTCTCCAAAATTTTGCTTGATTTTTGATAAATATTCTTGAAAATATTTGAGTTGATCTGACATTGGTATTACCGACTGAAAAAAGGTATAAGATAAAAAACTTGAAAGATTTAGAAATATTATAATAACAATTGAAAGAGTTATAACATATGTAAATATCTCATACCAGTAATTTAGATGTTAATGGATCATAACCGGAACCTCCAGAAGCAAATATTACACCTTTTAGAAGATCATTTGGCTTTAGATTCGAACCTAAATAGGGTGGTAGAGTCTTTGCTATCCCCAATTTTTCCGCTGCAATATTTTTGTAATATATATTATATAGTATCTGTACCATGAAAGAAGGACTAAAAACAGACTATAAGCAATCGAAAATGGAGTTATAAAGAAATTGATATCTACCAATGATGTCCGATGGAACTTTCCCATCTGAAAATCTACCGCTAGGAATAGCATCCGGAAAATCTCGGCCATAAGGTGGAAAGTTGGCTTTAAGAAGAGTTGGGATGTCGTTATTATTTCCAGTATCCATAATTGAGTCTCCGAATACTATTAGTGCCGGAACTGTTATGTTCGTAGGAGCTTAATGCCAAAAAAAAAAAAAAATGAAATACATTAGGGCGTGACTAATAAATCAAAAGAAAATATTTAGTTAAATGTGATCAAAATTTAATGTCTGTTACCAGTGCTTGTGGTCGCTTCCACGACAGAAAATAAGAAGAGAAACCCAATAAAATGTAGATCCATGCTACCAAAAGAATTATGCTTAATCAAGAGAGAAAACAAATTTTCTTTATCGTTAAGAAGATGTTGAGAGCAGAGATATTCCTACATAATATATATGTATATATATATTGTAAGATAATTATTTTGCCAGTGAAATTATATATCCAGCTATTTTTCTTTTATAGCAAGGCGTTGAAAATAAAGAAATATAAAATATGATACACCGAATCTATAACTAAAAGGAATATATATATCGAGGAATTTTCATTACAGCTAAAGTAAAAAATAAGTTAAAAAGGAAATGGAAACAACAAATTGTGGTGATAGTTTGAATAAAGAAATTAAGATATGATATTTAGAAACTAGGACAAGAAGGAAAAATATCAAAAGAAAATTATATGAACATTTAAAATTCGATGTTAAAAACATATATATAGAATGTAATATTACGTACATGCAGATATTGTTACTTAAATCTCGAAAACAATAGTTTTCGTTGTACATACGTTGTATATGCACATATAATTATAGATTTGTTTACTGTATACATGTATGTAGTATGTCTGTATGTGCATTGCATATACAAATATATAGATTTGTGTACTGTATACATGTATGTCGTATGTCTGTATGTGCATAGACAACCAAAAAGGAATGGAAAGAGAAAAATTTTAAAATGAGAAAAGAGACAAAAAAATAAATAACAAAGAAGAAGTAAAAAATATTTTTTATTCATGAAAGCCAAAATATATAGTGAAGAAGTAAATGAGAAATACTATAGTAAGATAATTTTTAAAAAAATGTGAATACCATTGATTATACCTGTATTAAATATCATATTGTATATCAATATATTTATAATTTTTAGTATATATATATTGTTGTGATTCAGTTTCAGTGTGCGTATGAATATATATGTTAGAACTACGAAATGTTTTGTGTTTTAAACAACTTCAAAAACAAGTTTGTTTGTTGTCTATTACAAATTCATACAATTTGCCTAAATCCCTAAATATACATTATTTCAATGCATACGTAATTCCTAGTAACTATATATTCCCGAGACATGTTTAAGAAGTAAATGCCATGAATTCTAAAAGTGAATCAGAGTCTATTCTCTATGATACTGAAATAATTAATATATTCTTATGTACACATGTTTGACATACTTTTTATTTATTGATCGCCAAATGCTTGACATAGATAGATATAGATCTAGAGGAAATGCACATTGATGAATAAGTATCATGATATCAAAAACGTTGAACGTTTTGATAGTTAACTACATACAGTTATACACCATATTTTCATTAAAATGTATTTTATTGTATTTCTAAATTTATGTGGTCATATTCATATATGAATCGGTCCCAAATGATGAAATCCAAATGCGGATAAGGATCAAAACATGCTGACTATACCGAATGAACCCAAGAGTGGAAATTAAACCAAGAGAAAAGCTTATGAAATTCTCTCAAATCGTTCTTGGAACGAATAGTCAATGATATTAAAGAAAAGACAAACTCAAATCATAATTCCACTATCACAAATATCAGGTGGCCCTCATAGAAAACATATTACGTATATATACAATGCACGATGATTGGACCCGAGGCTCCCTCCACAGTCACATTTTAAAAGTCCATGTTCACGATCGTCTTCACAGTTAACGATCACGAACATTGATTAAATCCTCCATTTTTTTTTTGTCTTTCTTCTCCAACAGAATCAAAACCTGCCTTTCCTTGCCATTATTTCGCTCACCTAACCACTTCCTGTTTTAATTAGAATCCCCAACGGTTCTTTACATTTAATGTGGGTCCGATGAGGAGTTTGGGTCCATGCCCGCACGTCACTTGGCCAATAATAGGTATTGAGTGATTCAGTCACGCGCCGCTGGTCTGTCATACCAACTAGCTAGACCTTACCATAGTTCATGAATATATATTCACCCATTCTATATTGGGTACCAAACTTTTATAGTCTTTCTAATTATGCCACCAATGTGTTGCTTTCATGTAGATCATTACTTTTTCTTGGGGGGGGGGGGGGGAATACATTCTTTATTCTTTGATCCCTCTTTATAAACACTTGATCGATCACATCGGTTTGCCAAACATGAATGGAATTAATTTCCAACAATTAACAGAGATTTGACCAACATAGTTGCTTTAATGGATTTTTTTCACTACATGCTATGCTTTGGGTAGAGAAATCCAAAATATGGTATATCCTCTATTTGTATTCTTTTTAGCCATCATTCAGTCCATTGATATTTTTTTTGCTATTACTCAGTGATGTTGAAGTTAGGATTGTACATATTTTAAGTATCGATTAGATTATTGTGAATCGAACCTCAAGATTATGATCTGAAATAGTATATTGATAATTTACGTAATTTGATTATAATTCTTTCTAACTTTTTTGAACCGACTATATCAAACGTTAAAAAAACATACGTTATTAAAATCAAAGTCAATCAAAAGCAAAAACCGACTAGGACATGTAGCCTTGTGGAGTTGTGGTTACATGTTGTTAACACACTAAAACAAAACCAATATAGATGTATACTATACTTGGATTTCTGTGATATATGTATATATATATATAGTACTATTTTTAAAATGAAAAACTAAAATTGAGAAAAATATCTGAACGAAAGCAAATTGGATAGAACATTGCCAAAAATATATGCTGATATTTTTTTTTCTTATTTCTATCTAACTTTAGTAGAGACGATAAATACAAGATCTACTCAGCATCATTTATGCAGTGTCCATTGTCCAATCCGGTCGAGAAACCATGTCGATAGACCTTTACTTAGTTGCGTCTATGCCTTGCGTGCCGTTTTCCTCTCTCATCTGTCGCTTTCCTGTCGTTTTCTTACAACCTTGTGGCCACCCCCCACGTGTTCCTTCTTATCAGTCTAACTGGCATTATTCCAATTTCTTTCCGCCGCTAATATGCGGCCACGTAAGTCAGTTTCGCACAACAGTGTAATTTAATTTATTTAAATTTCCGTATCTTTATTTGGATTTGGACCGTTTGGATATTATTAGAAATTTTATTTATTCGCTCCCCCTCCCAACATAGCAAGTGTTTAGTGTTTTTAAAATTGTTTATTATTTCAGCGATATTTTTTCACTAGAGGCAAACCAATAAGAAAAACGATTTTATTTCTTAAATGCGCTCTTTAGGGCTTCCAAACTCCAAACTCTGTATACTTTTTGACTTACTTGACACAAACCATTGAGAGCATGACACGCGTCTAAGTACTAGGAGTTTAAAAACAATTAGTGGTGCTGACATTAAGTTATTTTATCGTAAACTTTTTTTTGCTTTAATTTTATTGGAATTTGGAAGATCATAGAACACAATGATGATTCATAATGATTCCAACCAAAATAAATGGTCCAATCAATCAGCAGAATTAATGTTTCAGTGCTAATGCTATATCAGATGAATTGGAATTTAATATAGGGGTCAAAGTGGGTACTTACGTGATAAATTTAATAATTAGAAGGGAAGAATACCGTTTCTTTTTTATTAAAAAAACTTTCTTTCTTTAATGGTTTGATTTTTTTTTATCTTATATTAAAATATATTATGACTTAGTGATTTTGAGTGTAAAACATTGAAGACTATATCAAATTTGCATTTTAAACGTAGTGTTATTAACGGTTTATTCCTGAAATAAAAAAGAAATTAAAATTTGAAAGTATAAAACTTCCATAATTTATCTATAAAAAAGATTTATCGATCAAAGATTATATCAAATAATTTTTTTATGTAGGAAAAATTTAGCATCTCGGTATAAAAAAAATATTGGAATAAATATGATTTTTTTCCTTTCCACAAAAAATATATTTTTAAAGTTAATATATGTGAAATGTGTCAAATGATATTTTTTATGAAACCAAAGAAGTATCATTTTTTGGTTTACTTATTTTAATGTATAAAAACTTAATCCTATTCATTTTATTTCAAAATAAATATCATTAGACTAACTATGTTTTGTTTCAAAATAAGTAAGTGGAAACTACAAACCAAGCCAAACACCCCAACCTTCTAGTTGGAAGAAGACCTTATTATGCCTTGCAAAAGTTGGAAACACCATTGCCATGAGAACGTCAGAGTGCAATGGAGGAGCAAATAATCTTGGAAGACTCTAGTCAAAATTATAATTACATGGATTGTTAATTCTAAAATCTATATATATATATATATATATATCTATGTTTAGCCCAAAAAAATGTAGCCAAACAATAATTAGAATTCCAAATTCGAAAACCTTTGTTGATATTTTCTGAAATCCATTATCACGCTGGCATTCCTTTTCATTCCGTACAAACTACAAACACTATTATTTCTTATTTTTCAGGGGACATCGGTAAAAGAAAAACACTTTATCGAATTATTGTTTTTGTTGCTTTTAGCAACTAGCACAGATTTCATCTCACCAAACCACATGCATTACATCGTAATTCGTAGCACAAAGATCAACATAGGTACATTACTATCCATTATCAAATAAAAACAAACAAATAAACATTTACACGTTTGTGTTTGAATAAAGAGAATCAAACTTTCTTCCGCTTTCTCATTAGAACCAAATACACCTGCTATTTTGATTTTGTATTTTTATATATGTTTTTGTAATAACATTTACTACTATTTATTTGCTCAATTGGTTACTTACTTACCTCTCACCCTCATCTTCCTCTCTGATCGTACTTTTGTCACTCATCTTCTCTGCTCCAAAGAAAAAATCGAAACTTTTGAAACCTCTCTCCAATTCCATCGGAAATAATCACTCTTTCGGTTTGCGAGATCTATCTATCAATCATGACCGTCGATTCAACTGATCGGCGAGACTTCGTCGTGAAAATAAACGGAGAAGAGAGCGGAGCCGTCGGTGCTACAGGATCAAGCAGCAATGCAGAAGGAGGAAATATCTGGAGGGAATCAAGCTACGATTTCTGGGATGGAGAAAAGGGTAAGAACGATGATAAAGGAGGCAACGGAGACAGCGGGAGTTTCAACTTCACGCGGCGGAAGGCACGGTCGGAATCCGGTGAAGTAGCTGATCCGCCGGCGAAGTTAGTCGAGCAGTTTCTTCAGAAGCAGAAAACTGCCGCCGGAGAGATCTCTCTCGATATGGAGCAAGTTAACATGGCAGACCTCCAGAGCAACACGCTGCCAAGTGGCTTAACTCCGATCTCAGAATCATCTTCTCCGTTCACGGCCAAAGGAAAAGCCGACGCGGTGAGACGTAGGCAGAACAGAATATCACTCGGTGGAAGTAGCGACGATGAAGGCCGTAACTTTAGCAAGAACGAAGCAGAGGTTCTTAGGTGTAGCTCGACGTCGAAACCGATGCTGAGGAGGAATCACACGAAATCAAGATTGCAGGATCCTCCAACACCGACACAGGGGACTCCAGCTCGCGGATCAGCGCTTGACAAAACAGAGATGAAGTCTGGTCGGAGAAAATCCGGGTTTCTTGGGAAAAGCCCTAAACAGGGGACTCCAGCTCACGATGAAGAAGAAGAGGAAGATCCGTTTCAAGACGAGGATTTACCGAGAGAATTCAAAAGGGATAAACTTAGCTTCTGGGTTTTTCTTGAATGGATAAGTCTAATCCTGATTATCACCAGCTTGATCTGTAGCTTAACCGTACATAGCTTGCGGCGCAAGACATGGTGGAAGCTAGATTTGTGGAAATGGGAAGTGACGGTATTGGTGCTGATCTGTGGGAGATTAGTCTCGAGTTGGATAGTGAGAATCCTCGTCTTCTCGGCCGAGAAGAACTTTCTTGTCAGGAAAAGGGTTTTGTATTTCGTCTACGGTGTCCGAAAAGCCGTTCAAAACAGCTTGTGGTTAGGGCTAGTGTTGCTCGCGTGGCACTTCTTGTTCGACAAGAAAGTGCAAAGAGAGACTAGGGCCACTGCGATTAGGTACGTGACGCGAGTGCTGGTCTGTTTGCTTGTTGCTGTGATCATTTGGCTGGTTAAGACGCTTCTGGTCAAGGTTCTGGCTTCATCGTTCCACATGAGCACTTACTTTGATCGGATTCAGGAATCGATCTTCACTCAGTACGTGATTGAAATTCTCTCGGGTCCTCCTTTGATGGAGATTCAGAGAATGGAGGAAGAAGAGGAGAAAGTAACAGAAGATGTCATAAGCTTAGAGAAACTGGCTGGTGCTATCTTGCCTCCAGCTCTAAAGGCGACGGTTAGAAGTTTTATGAAGAAAGAGCCGGGACTGTCTCGGATTGGTCCTAACAAAGAAGGAAATAGCGAAGGGATAAGGATTGATCATTTGCAGAGAATGAACCATGATAATGTCTCTGCTTGGAATATGAAGAAACTGATGAAGATAATACGAAAAGGCGCTCTTTCTACGTTGGATAAACATATATCGGACACAGTTCAGGAGGATGAAGACGCTACTCAGATTAGAAGCGAGTGCGAAGCAAAAATTGCAGCTAAGGGGATTTTCCACAATGTCACTGAGCCTGGTTCCAGGTATAATAACTTGACTTTTGATCATATATTTCTCAAAGTTGTGTGATTTAGTTTGGTTTTATGCTTCAAATCTTGAGAGGATTTTCTTTTTGTTTTTTCCGGGTTTTAGGTACATATATTTGGAAGACTTCTTGCGTTTTCTGTCTGAAGAGGAGGCTGATAGAGCCATGGCTCTATTTGAAGGAGTTTCAGAGAGCCAAAGGATCAGCAAGTCTTGCCTCAAAAACTGGGTGGTAAGTTTCAAATTCGTTATGTCAAGAATCTTTTCATATACAAAAAAAAACAGAGTTTTCTTGACCGTGTAGTGTTTTTCCTTTTCACAGGTTAAGGCGTTTAGAGAACGGAGGGCTCTGGCTTTGACCTTAAACGATACAAAAACAGCAGTGAACCGGCTTCACCGTATAATAAATGTGTTGATTAGCATTATAATCATAATCATCTGGCTTCTTATACTCGGAATCGCCACGACCAGACTCTTGCTACTCTTAAGCTCTCAGCTTCTTCTAGTAGCTTTTGTATTCGGAAACTCGTGCAAAACCATCTTCGAAGCCATCATTTTCCTTTTCGTTATGCACCCATTTGATGTTGGTGACCGCTGCGAAATCGACGGTGTTCAGGTTTGTTCACTCTTAACACAAGACATTGCTGCTCTTATAATATTTTTTAACCCTGTTTCTGATCTTGATCTTTCTTTTATACCAGTTGGTCGTGGAGGAAATGAACATATTGACGACTGTTTTCTTGAGATATGATAATCAAAAGATCATATACCCGAACAGTGTTCTCGGCACAAAACCAATAGCTAACTATTACCGAAGTCCCGATATGGGAGATGCGGTTGAATTCCTTGTTCACATAACAACTCCTCCAGAAAAGATAACTGCTATTAAACAGAGAATACTCAGGTTAGTTGAAACTTTGAAACCCTAAACCTTGATTAAGTACCTTGGAAGCAAAGATTCCTAACCATATCCATATATGCTTATATGTTTTTGATATGATATGCAGTTATATAGACAACAAGAAGGATCATTGGTATCCTGCACCAATGATTGTGTTCCTAAACATGGATGAATTACTAAGTATAAAGATCGCAGTGTGGTTGACACATAGAATGAATTTTCAAGACATGGGAGAGAGGTATATAAGGAGAGGTCAATTACTAGAGGAAGTTGGAAAAGCTTGTAGAGAGCTCGATATCGAGTATCGTATGTATCCTCAAAGCATTCATATTCGAAGTCTCCCTCCTCCGACTACTCCGGGGGCTTCAGACCGTCTTCCTCCTGCCTGGACGCATCAACGCGGTGCCTGAATTGTATAGATTGTGGTGAAACGGGATTTTTCATTGCGTTATGCGTTAGCAATTATATGATTTTTGTGTATATAATATATTTATATGTATGTGTGGTTTCGTAAGAGTTTGTATTTTTTATTTTTGGTTTTCTTCTATTCTTGAAGTAGTAATTGGTGATGGAAGAATAAGTATAAAGTCATCGATATAGGCTCGAAGACATTGTTGATCTTGTTCTGATAAATGGAAGATTTGAAAGACGCAGTTACAAGTAAAAAAGCTTACGATTTCTACAAGTAAATATTTGTAGTGACTGAACACTCTCAAATCACAACTCACAAAAGAAGTCACAAACTTAGTAGTCTTCTTGAGGCCTTTAAGCCTTTAACCCCTTCCTGAACGACGACGTATTAAAATGTTCAAACGTATTAATGGGTTTGGGTTTTACTTGGTTTACAAAAAGAATAGTTTTATATAAATGTGAGATTGGATCGCGGAATCACACATGTCACATCTATCCAACCGCGCAAAGGGCCGCGTTATGAGATACAGAATAACAGAAACCGGGATAGAGTCGGATCCAGAACCGGATCGGTTTTCCCTCATGTTTCTTCGGTTTAACCCACCCGAACCCCTAAAATTCGGGTCTTTATAACCCAAATCGCCCATCGGATCTGATATTCTTCGATCCAGCTTCTTCCCACCCGTAACCCTTAAAAACAACTCCTCGGATCCTCCGATTGTACTCCACAGATTCTGACGGCTCTTCTTTTATAAACAAAGGTGCCTAAATTTCAAACCTTTTTGCTCTTGCTCTGTTCGTCCTTCACTCTCTCGGCTAATTTCTTCTTATGGACAACACTCTTGCGTTGTTCCCAATTTTCAAAAGGGCTTATTTTTTAGTGTTTGATAACTAATTTCATCCGAATTTTTTTAGCTGTGATCGTTTTCACTCATAAGAAAGCTTTTTTTTTTTTTGTGTGAATCCGATTTGCGTGGTTATGTTATTGTTGAAGAATGTGGCACGGTGTGATCTCTCTTATGCAATAGATGATTTTTTTTTTTGCATAGTTTTGATATCTGTATAATGATGATGGTTGATTGGTTTTTTAGGATGATCTTTGTAGCTCACATGACATTGTAATTATGTAAAAAGGTGTTTGTTTTACAGTCTAAAATTTTTGGTTTTTTAAATCGATGAATATGGATAATTGGTGCAGCAGCGAGGAGAGTTGTGAATGATGGATGAATCAAATGAGATCATCCTGCAGAAATCAAAGAGGTTGACATCAGTTGTCTGGAATTACTTTGAGAGGGTAAGAAAGGCTGATGTGTGCTATGCTGTCTGCATTCAGTGCAATAAGAAACTCAGCGGTTCCAGCAACAGCGGGACAACTCATCTCCGGAACCATCTCATGCGGTGTCTGAAAAGAACCAATCACGACATGTCTCAGTTGCTGACTCCGAAAAGAAGGAAAAAAGAGAATCCAGTAACTGTTGCTACTATCAATTTCGATGAGGCTCAGGGGAAAGACGATTACCTCAGGCCTAAGTTTGATCAGGAGCCACGAAGTAACGAGTTGGTTCTAAGCCGAGGAAGTGGAGGAAGGTTTAGTCAAGAAAGGAGCCAGATTGATCTTGCACGCATGATTATATTGCACGGTTATCCGTTAGCCATGGTTGATCATGTAGGGTTCAAAGTGTTTGCTAGGAATCTCCAGCCGTTGTTTGAAGCTGTGCCTAATAGCACCATCGAGGAATCTTGTATGGAGATTTACATTAGAGAGAAGCAGAGAGTGCAGCACACTTTGAATAATTTATACGGTAAGATCAATCTTTCGGTGGAGATGTGGTCTTCCAAGGATAATGCTAACTATGTTTGTTTGGCCTCTCATTACATTGATGAGGAGTGGAGGCTACAGAGGAATGTTCTCAACTTTATCACATTGGATCCTTCTCATACGGAAGATATGCTCTCTGAAGTAATCATCAGGTGTTTGATGGAATGGAGTCTTGAGACCAAGCTTTTCGCTGTTACGTTTGACAATTTTTCTGTTAATGATGAGATTGTCCTGCGGATTAAAGACCACATGTCTCAGAGCAGCCCGATCTTAATCAACGGGCAGTTATATGAGTTGAAATCAGCCAATCATCTTCTGAATTCTCTTGTCCAAGATTGCTTGGAGGCAATGAGAGATGTGATCCAAAAGATTCGAGGAAGTGTGAGATATGTCAAGAGCTCACAGTCAACACAAGCGAGGTTCAACGAAATCGCTCAACTCGCGGGGATCAATTCAGAGAAGATCTTAGTTCTTGATTCTCTTGGTACCTGGAACTCTACTTACGCCATGCTTGAAACCGTACTAGAGTACCAAGGTGCGTTTTGCCATTTGCGTGATCACGACCACGGGTTTGATTCATCACTAACTGACGAGGAGTGGGAATGGACAAGATCAGTTACCGGTTACCTTAAACTTGTCTTCGAGATTGCTGCTGATTTTTCTGGAAACAGATGTCCGACAGCGAATGTATACTTTGCTGAGATGTGTGATATCCACATCCAGTTGATCGAGTGGTGCAAGAACCAGGACAGTTTCTTGAGTTCTCTTGCAGCGAAAATGAAGGCTAAATTTGATGAGTATTGGAACAAATGCAGCCTTGTCTTAGCAATCGCTGCTATCTTGGATCCACGGTTCAAGATGAAGTTGGTAGAGTATTACTACTCCAAAATCTATGGCAGTGTAGCTCTGGATCGTATCAAGGAAGTGTCGAATGGTGTCAAGGAGCTTCTTGATGCATATTCAATGTGCTCATCCATTGATGGGGAAGACTCTTCCTTCTCTGGCTCTGGCTTAGCTAGAGGTAGTATGGACACTAGAGACAGATTGAAAGGATTCGACAAGTTTCTCCACGAGACCTCCCAAAACCAAAACACAACATCGGATTTGGACAAGTACTTGTCTGAACCAATCTTTCCCCGTAGTGGCGAGTTCAACATTCTGAATTACTGGAAGGTCCATACACCGAGATACCCTATCCTCTCTATGATGGCACGTGATATTCTGGGGACGCCTATGTCAATCCTTGCGCCTGATTCAACATTCAACTCTGGGAGACCGGTGATCGACGAAAGCAAGAGTTCACTGAGCCCTGATATTAGACAGGCTTTGTTCTGTGCACATGATTGGCTGTCTACAGAGGCAGAAGCAGAACCGGGCCTGGGTAGATAGATGCACATGAACCATGTGCTTCGGAGCCGGTATGTTCAAAAAGTTGTTACTTGTTAGAGCCAATTTGTGAAAAGATGAGTTACTGCAGATGGTTAAGTATGTGGAGATTCTTTTGTTGGAACTTACGATAATTGGAAAAACTCGAGTCTATGAAGCTATGTTTTGTGATTTTTTTTCTTTTTCCCTTTTTTATCATTTGAGTCTTTCAAGACTGTTTTGTATTCTCAAGTTTGAAGCATAGGAAAATACAAAAGTTTTTTATAAGAGTGTTTTATATTTTATAGTTTTACTTATCTTGACATGAAAGCAAAAAGGAATTGTAACAGATTTCAATAATCAAATTGAAAAGTAAAAAAAAAAAGAACTCATTCATGTGTAATAATATTAATGTAAACAAAGTTGTGTCGTGACGTAGAATGTGTCAAGAAAGAGCTACAAGTTCGTAGTAGAATGCAAAACAGAGATGACAAATGAATCATATGACAAAACAAATCAAATTTATAGTAGAATCATTATAGTGAAACTACCTGCGAGGATACTATAACAATGAACAGAGAAAGAGGAAATGTATGTTATTGAGGGCGTTTACGTTCTCTTGTTGGGTTCGAAGACGTATTTGATCAATGAATCTTTGATGGAAAGCATCTCTGGAAACTCTTTGCTTAGCTTAGAGCCATCCATCTCATTGTTGCTCCGTGGTGCGACAATGACCTTAGCCTGTTCTTCCAAAGTGAAGTTGGACCATTTAAAACCTGGCTCGATGTAACTCTTGTACATCTCTAGTATCTCGTTGTGACTCACCACTCCTGGATTGGTGAAATTCCATATTCCCCTTAGGTTCCTCTTCGCCATCTCGATTGAGATTGGTAAGAGTTCGTCGAGTATGGTCATGCTGTTTGGGATGTTCACCACTTTGTTGTATCGCGAGATCTTCGTAATGAAGTTTCGCGGGTTGTTCAAGTCGGATGAAATTGGCATCCGCACTCTCAAGGTGCATACATTGTCAAATTCTCTTAGTAGCTCTTCGACCTGAGGAATATAGAAACAGAGGATTTATAGACAGAGTTTCAGGAGATTGAGGAGGATCAGATATGATTTGGTTATGAGATAGTATATTACCATTGCCTTCGTTTTTGAGTAGAAAGAACCGGTGAAATTCGGTTTGTCTTCTTCCTTAAAGCCAATTCCTGAACCTTCTGGATGTGCAGCGTCATACTCAAATATACAACCGGTGGCAAAGTTCATTATCAACAGATCATTCTCTCTGCAGACATCTGCTAGAGTCAAAGTACCAGCAACGTTGACTCGGATAGTCTCGGTTTTGTGAGACTCACACCAGTCAACATTGGGTCTGCCGGTTAAACCGGCGGCATGAAGACATGAGTGGGTTTGATGCTGCGAATATCCGGGGGAGAGAGAAGCCCTGTCCTCTAGTCTCCCTTTTCCATACTCGTATGGAATACCTTGCTTCTCACATAGCTTTCCTAGAAGACCGCCAAGCCACCCAGTCTTGCCATAGATGAGAAACTTTAAGGATGTTTTGTCTCCGGAACTACCAGTCTTGGTGGGAGTAATTACTGTGAATGTCTGATTACCACCTGCATCCTTGTGCTCGTCAGAGCCATCAGAGAGTCTATCACCGGGCATCATCAGCATCCGTGGATGAGGCAGTAGAGCTCCAGAAACATCTCCCCACCACTCAGGGTTCTCAGTGTACCATTCCATTGTCTTCCTCAGTCCTTCTTCCCAAGTGGTTCGTTCAGACCATCCCAATTTCTTCAGCTTCTGGTCATCGAGGAAGTACCTCTGGTCATTAAAAGGGCGGTTCTCGACAAACTGAATGGTGGAGTCGGGGTCTATTCCAAAGAGTTTGGAGATGTCGTTGGCCACGTCAATCACTCTCCTTTCTCTCGTTGTCCCTATATTGTAGACATGATTAACTTCCCCTTTGTGTAGAACAACCTCAAATGCCTCAGCAACATCTTCGCAGTAGAGGTAACTCCTCACATTAGATCCATCTCCGTGGATCGGGAGTGGCTTCCCATTCATGGCCAACAGTATGAACT